CACAACTCCTCCCCATCAGACAGTCTCTCCAATGCCTGCTTGTTCTCCAATCAGGAGAAATGATTGACAGTTCGGAACAGGTTGGCCTAGATATTAGAAGTAGGAATAAACGAAACACATTTATAGTGAAGCAGCAGCTCTAGTTGGGAAGGAAATGTTATCTTGTGTAAAAGTTGTCAACTAACAGGGAAAAGAACTCTATGTACTTCAGTAGCATAGACTTAAAAATTAAGTCACAAGAATATTAAAACAGGGGCTGGAGGATGGCTCAGCGGTTAAGAGCACTGACTGTTCTTCCAGAGGTCCTGAGTTCAATTCCCTGCAACCACATGGTGGCTCACAACCACCATGAATGAGATCTGGTGCCTTCTGCTGGCATGCAGGCAGAAGGCTGTATACATAATAAATAAGTAAAATCTTTAAAAAATATATTAAAACAAAGACAACTTTGCTTTGCATTTTAGCTCCATTAAAAGGCTTGAACTTCCATTGTTATCAGTTGATAAGAGTAAAGTAACTCCCCAAATCATCCCCAAACAATAAGGAACATTTTACCTTAGATGAGGCAAAACCATGTCTTAAACACAAGTGTGCCAGGAGAAAATGGAGAAGTGGTGAATAACAGGCCCATGAAGCCTCACAGACAAGAATGAAATGCACCAGAAACAAGACACGTTGCACAGAACCCTCCGAGAAGCCAGTCATGGAAAGCGATGATCGGAAGGTGTATAGAAGAAACCATTAGATTCCCAGCCAATGACTCTATCCCATATTCATTCAAATTACCATGCTTCTTGTTGTTTTTTTTTTTTTTTAAATCGTAAGTTTATTATTGTTGTAAGTATATGAACCTGGTGTGCCGTGGGTACACATGTCCCACAACACTGTGTTTAGAGACCAGAGGACAACCTGTGGAGTTGGTTTCTTCCTTCCATCTTTATGTGGGTTCTAGGGATCAAACTCAGGTTGCCAGGTACGGGTGACAAATGCCTAGAATTTTTTGAGATACAGTCCCGTTTCATAGTCCAGCTAGTCTCAAACTCTTGATCCTCCTGGTTAAGTATCCTAAGTGCTGTTATTACAGGCTTGTGTCACCATGTCTGTCTGCAAGCAATGGTTCCTCTTTTTATTTGTCTTATTTTATGTGTATGAGTGCTTTGCCTGCACATCAAGCATACCTCCTGTGTGCCTGATGTTCTCAGAGGTCAGAGAGGGCATCGGATTCTCTGAAACTGGAGTTACGGATGGTTGTGAACCACCATGTCCTCTGTAAAAGCAGCAAACACTCTTTACCACAGAGCCAACTCTCCAACCCTGGGATTCTTCTTAGTGACAATCAATCAAGACATGTAAGAATTTCTCACAACCCAAATGCAAATCTTCAGACTTCTCTCTGTAGATGATAGGATGCATTTTACGTTTTCTTTCCTGTGACATGTTTATATAGCAAGTATTTATTGCGTGCCTTCTATATGCCATGTGCAAACTATCTTCTGCCTTGCATAGGGGACACTGACACACAAGTTCCATGGAATGTACATGTAGAACAGACTTTATCAGGAAAACTTTTATATGGTATGATTTACTTATTTTTGACAATCCCATACATGTATAGAATGTATCCTGGCATAACCACATATTACATCTTTAAGCCCTCTTCTACTCTTGCTGACTCCCGTTATCTCAACTAGTGCCCCCCCCCCCCAGCCCTCATGTTGACTCCCTCCTCCTCCCTAACCCCAGGGAAAACTCACATAAACAGAGAGGTAACAGGAGTGATGTCACCTTTCATCACCACACAGCTTAGGCAATGTGGAGATGGGCTGTGTGGCCCTGGGCCAGTGTGTGAGTGCAAATGCAGAGACTTGGCCCATGAGATTTGATGGATATTTATAGCATGGGGGAGTGGAACAGACAATTACAGAGAATGCTGTCCTGTTTAAAAAAAACAAAACAACAAAAAACAGACACTTGGCACTCAGCAGTTGTTCTTCTGTTGAACTAAACCAGGTCTGCTGAGAGAGCTCTCTGTTAAATCATGGCACGATCCCATCACTATCAGCCCCTTCCCAGTCCAGCCTCTGGAACTTGAGACTCTTTTAATGTAAGTCTCGGTATTATCTCTAGTTGGCATTGAATAACACTAGGTTTTATGTGTTTGCTCTCAAGTGGTGTGTCAACCAAATCTCATCCAGCTTGCAAAGTAGGGAAAGACATGCCCAACACTGAGAAGTCATAGAAGGCTTCTGTGGTGAAGTTGGTCTGTATCTTTAGGATGTTTTTGCATCCAACCTCAACCCTATTGACTTCCAGGGCCTTGGGTATCCATTATGCCCAGTCATTATTCCTCCAGGGTAACCTAGTTGCTCTTTCCTTGGCTTATGAATTCCACAGGACCATGGAGGTTGCTATTTGACAGCAATTTCATGAATGGCCTCTAGGGAGGCAAAAGGACAGTTATGGATGTGCCATGGCAGTTAGGGTCAAAATCTGTGTCTACTCAGGTGTTCTCAGAAGTAATGGAAACTGTTCATCTGTCAAGGTCAAACCAAGCATGAAAAGCAAGAAGAATAAGAATGCACTGTTTCGCCAGGCATTGGTGGCGCATGCCTATTTAATCCCAGCACTTGGGAGGCAGAAGCAGGTGGATCTCTGTGAGTTTGAGACCAAGCCTGGTCTACAAGAGCTAGTTCCAGAACAGCCTCCAAAGCCACAGAGAAACCGTGTCTCGGAAAAAAGAAAAAAGGATTCACTGTTTCTTTTCATATGAGTGTTGGTGAAAAAAGATAAAAAGAAATGTACATGATTCCTTTCGCTCTTTACCTTAAGCTGATTCCTGGATGCCATAACAGCTTAGCCACTGAACAGGGAGGCATGATTACAATTTAAAATAACAGAAGACACACAGAAGAGCTTTGCTTAAGCTTGGCAAGAGTCTATGAAGCATACAGCTTCATGGGTATCAATGGCTTTTTCTGTAAATTGGAAGAATTTCTTGCCAGGTGGTGTAGTGCCTTATGGAAGTTCCACTGCTGTGATTCTGTTTGGGGCATAGATCTAGCTGGCTTCAGCAGAGAGTTTCGTCAATATTTCCATTGCTTTAAAACATGGTTACATCACAAGAGCATGTAGGCCAGACACAAAATTGAATTTATAGTCAAGGTATTGCATCTGAGTCCCACAGGGGCCCCACAACCTTCTGATTCCACATGGTCCAAATGCCATAGGTATAGTTAGAAGGTGACTGGATTTTAGTCTTAGGACAACACATGTGGCTTAAACTACTTGAAGTTCAGAGTACTTTTCAAAGAGTATCCAACATGGTAGATTAGCAACAGTTCTTTATTATGTTGAATGGAGCTGCCACTCTTAATGGTAGATGATTTTATCCGTGAACTTTCCTGTCTTCAGGTTTGGGGACTTGTAGTTAAGACTCTAGGCTGAACTAGTAGTTTTGGTAAAGCAGTGGTCAAGACCACGTCTATGAGTCATAGGTGTTCAGCAGGAGGGCTATGGTCTTTTCCTAATGGGAAATGCTATTTATGCTTCTATGAAATGAGTTGAGGCTTCAGCCATCCTCTGGGAATATAAGTCAGAGATGTCCCATTGCAGGATGGGGTTTGCTCAGTATCTTGACTTTTGATGAGCTCATCTGTGTCCACTGGGGCCTCCACTTAGCAGTGGGAGAAAATTTTTGTAGTGTCTAAGGCCTTCTAGTAAACAAGTCGTGGTAGGTTCTTTTCTTTTTTTTTTTTTTTTTCCAAGACAGGGTTTCTCTGTGTAGCTTTGGAGCTAATCCTGGCACTCGCTGTGGAGACCAGGCTGGCCTTGAACTCATGGAGATCCGCCTGCCTCTGCCTTCTGAGTGCTGGGATTAAAGGCGTGAGCCACCACCAGGCGTGAGCCTGGCCGTGGTAGGTTCTTGATTAGCGGAATTTTTTCCAGCCACCTAAAGCTGATCAGAGAGTTTGGCAGTAATGAGAGGTTCCTGCTTGCTGGATTGCTTCCAGCCCTTCCTGCTCCAGCAGTAGGTACTCAAAGACTACCACTTATCTGGTGGCCTAGCACTGTAGAGTTTTGTCACCAATATATAAATAGAACAGTCATGTATTCAGTTGTACACACACATGCATGTGTGCACGTGTATGTGTGTGTGTGTGTGCGTGCATATGTGTATGCAGCACGCATGTTCAAAAATTATAAAACTTGAAAGGGAACCATAAGAGTGGAGGAAGAGAGCTTAGTGGGGGGAGTGTAGGGTTGTGCCTGACATGAAAGCTAAAGAGGTACTATCTGGGGGAGACAGAGGACTAATAAGGGGGGGCCAAGGGACGGGGGCGGTCAGCAAGGGAAGGGGACAGTAAGAACAGAAGCTGGTGCTATATGGATGAAAATACCATAAGGCACACAACTTTCCTAATGCTGTGAACCTTTAGTACAAGTCCTCGTGTCATGGTGACCCCCAACCATAAAATTATTTTTGTTGCTACTTCATAACTGCAATTTTTCTACTGCTATGGATCATAATATAAATATTTTTCGGATATAGAGATTTGACAAAGGGGTCATGACCCATAGGTTAAGAACCCCTGGTAGAGAGAAAGCTCAGAGGTTAAGAGCACCAGTTGACTTTCCAGAAGACCTGGGTTTGATTCCCAGCACACACATGATGGTTCACATCCTCTGTAACTCCAGTTTCAAGGGATTCGATGCCTTCTTCTAGCCTCTTCAGGAACACACACGAGTGCATAGATACATATGCCAACAAAGCACACATACACATTAAATTATATATATCTATATTTATTTATATACAATGCTGAGGATATAGCTCAGGACCTTGCTTGGACTAGGGAGACATATTCCCACTTTCCAAGCCCTGATTTAATTACTTTACAATGGAACATTGGAAAATAACAATGACTGGTTTCTCTACAGGATCTTTTAATGACTGTTAGATGACAGTGTTAAGAACTAAATTTCTGTGTCTTCCTTTGTAGGTTCATCCAAGGCTGGTTTTCAGAAAGGAAGCAGGTGGCCAGGGTGGATTTCTCGACAGTGTTACCGCGCTCCATTTCTCTTTATATCTTTTCCTTCCTGAATCCCAAAGACCTGTGTGCGGCTGCTCAAGTCAGCTGGCCCTGGAAGTTTCTAACGGAACAGGTTTCTTCCTCTCTACTCCTCTCACTTCCTAGTAATGGCACACAAAAGCAACCATAGTCTGCAATGTGTCAGTCAGGGTGGCTCTGGTTAAGTGCCCCTTAGGGGAAAGAATGGAGGGCCTGGAAGAAGTCAGTTCAGCGGGTAAAGGCACTTGCTGCACAAGTGTGAGGCCCTGAGTTTGATTCCCAGAACCTATGGAAAGCTGGGCATGGCTGCTCCCCTCTATAATCCTCTGTTCCTCCAGCAAGATGGGGGATGGAAGCAGGAGAGCCCTGGACACTCCTAGGCCAGCGAGCCTGGTGTATGCAGTGGTGAACGACAAGGTGGAGAGTAAAGGCCAACTCCCAAAGCTGTCTTGTGACCTCCGCTGGCACAAACTCACCTGTACTGATACCCGTGAAAACACACACACACACAGAGACAGAGACAGAGAGAGAGAGAGAGAGAGAGAGCGAGAGAGAGAGAGAGAGAGAGAGAGAGAGAGAGAGAGAGAGAGAGAGAGAGAGAGAGAGAGAGAGAGAGAGGGAGGGGAGATTTATAATGGAGATAAGTGAAATTCAGTAACTTATTTTTTGCTTGGAAGGTTTTTCCTCCCTTTGGTTTCCTAGTTTTCATATTGTGAAGTCAAACCCAGGACTTCACACATGCTAGGTCAGCATTCAACCCCTGAGCCAAATACCAGCACCAGTAACATTTTATAATCATGGCTATATACACCATTCCACTAGTTTATTTACTTTTATCATGCTTGTGAATTATTCAATGTGATTATTTTTAAAAAATTATACAAGTTTGCTATTCTTTATGAAAAATGTTTTGAGCTTTGTTTCTTATGTGATGTTATTTTATTCATGATCAATTAACTCTGGAAAATTGGTACATAATCAGAGCTTCTACTGAACCCTCGGCTGACAGCTGCTGAGGAACAGAACAGAAGCTAAAACCAGCATCCGCCACTGCTTCTGACTCTGCTCTAGGCATCTCTCTGTTGCCTTTTATGAGAGTTGATTGTGAGAAGATAGACATGTTCTGGCGTCATCTCATGTTTTCCTCCAGTAGACTATACATGTCCAGGGATGGCTGTGGCCTGATCTTCATTTCAAACACTAGCTGCTACCCAGTGAGGGCCTCAAGTACAAGGCAGACAATAGCCCTCTTTTTATGGACTATTGCCAGGTTCCTCAGACTCAGCACTCTGACTTAAACCACTGTTTATATATCTTCACTCTTGGCTTTTCTGTCGTCACACACCCAAGATGTTCCTCTAAAGAGAATATGTTTAGTCAGCATTTGGCAGTCTGTTAGGATAAATTATTCTGCCAAAAGCGGCCTGAGCCCCACCGCCACGTGTGAGATTTACGCCAGCCGCCCACCCGAGTTAGGCCCAAATGAATACACAGAAACTTGTTTTAGGTACAATGCTACTTGGCCAATGACTAGGATTCCTCATCTGTTAGCTCAGTCTTAACTACTATAAACCTATATATTTTATAAAACTTATCTTATCGAACGCCTTATTGACACCCCTCCTTGCCGGTGGATCACAACATGCCACTGGAGCAGGAGCGGAGGGAAAAAGAGACATACTTCCTGTTTCCTCGCTTAGATATGAGTCTCCTTGCCATGCCACTTCCTGCCTGGATCATCACGTCTCTACTACATTTCCCAGAATCCTCTTTGACTCCTAGTCCTTGCTTGCCATTGGCCAAACAGTATTTTATTCAACAGTCAATAAGATAAAGATACAAAGAAGTACATTCCCCATCAGCAGTCTTTTTTTGTTGTTGTTGTTTTGTTTTGTTTTTTAAGATTGTTTTGGTTTTTAGGGCACAGAAAAGTGAACCCATTTGGTTTTTAGGGCACAGAAAAGTGAACCCAGAACCTCATATATGCCAAGAAAATGCTCTCCCTCTGGGCTGTAAGCCCTGTCCAAAGCTTGCCTTGCTTTTGTCTGTGTATGTATCTGGTGGGGGCACTGGGTGGTGCCCCAGCGCTTATGTGGAAGTAGCACTTCAGGTGTTTGTTGGCTCTTGCCTTCTACCTTCATTGAGTCATAGTCTGTAACTATTTACTGTTGAGTCCTCCTGGGAGGTTCAGGGATTCTGTCTGCATCTCCCACCTCACTGTAGGAGCACGGGCATTATAGACATGTGCAACCATGTCCAGCTTTACATGGTATTCTAGTTAGGGTCACTATTGCTGCAATGAAACACCATGAGCAAAAGAAAGTTGGGAAGGAAACCACATCATAGTCCATCACTGGAGGAAGTCAGGACAGCAACTCAAACAGGGCTGGAACCTGGAGGCAGGAGCCGATGCAGAGGCCATGAAGGGGAGCTGCTTACACACTTGTTTAGCCTGCTTTCTTATAGGATCAAGGACCACCAGCCCAGGGATGGAACTACTGGCCATGGACTGAGCCCTCCCCAAGTCAATCATTAATTAAGAAGTGTCCTATAGTTAGATCTTATGGAGGCATTTTCTCAATTGAGGTTCCCTCCTTTCAGATGACTCTAGCTTGAATCAAGTTGACATAAAATTACCCAGCACACATGAGTTCTGGAGATTATTTTTAGGCCAAATTTATATTCATATAGATTCTGATATATTTGGGTTGAGACCCACCATCTTTAAAGGTTCCCTTATTTTTAATAAATTTATTATTTTTGAGGCAAGGTCTCATGCATTCCAAGCTGGCCTAGCCCTGGCTCTCTAGCAGCAGAAGACTCCAGATTTCCAAGTACATTTCCTCCACCTTCTGAATGCTATGCGGCTTCTTGTTGCTCTTTTATTTGATTCTCATGTTTCATTTTTATTCTACTCAAGCCTTCCTTTGGGCTGGGTAAGTATTTTTACTGTTCATTTCAAAGTTTTAAGTATTTTTTCATAATTATCAGAGATCATAGTATGCACTCTGGGTTATATGATCACTCTGAAGACAATGCAAGGACCTTAGAACCTTTAGACTGTGTATCCCTCCTCTGCTTTTGTGCCTTTTTGTCATATTTTTGATTAGATGCATATACATATATAATAAACATATAATTGTCCTTGAGTACCTGTAGCAGACTGGATACAGCCCATCCCTCTTCCTCTGTAATAGCAAAACTGCCTGAGAGTTTTATATACAATGGTGTATCTGCATGTAATCAATCCTCTTGGATACTTTAAATTCCTCCACATATTTTATTATTTTTCAAAGATTTTAATGATATTTAATTGCATGTGTGTATGTATTAGTTGCATGTATGTATTTGTATGTGTATCTATGGGTATGCTTCCCAAGAGATGGGTTATAGGCGTGCACCCCCAAGCCTGGCTCCATAGTCTCTTATGTGAGTCTTGCATCATTTTGGCTTTTAGTGTCTAAGTCTAAATTTTCTTCTCATCTATCAGTTTTTTTGTTTCATTATCTGGATTCTAATGTACTCTTGTCTGTTTATTGAATTTTAAAATTAAGTTATTATCTTTTCCAGGCCTAGAATGTTGATTTGCTTCTATTGCCAACATTTTCCACTTGGTCCTTTAATATTCTTGGGCATATTAATTATAGTATTTTTTCAAAGTTTATGTCTCATAATAGCAATGTTTGGCTCTTCTTCGGGACTCTCTATAGTTACTAAACCTGAAATACAAAGAATTTGTCTTTCTAAGTATTCGAATTATTTTTGGTTGAGGGAAGGTATTGGGTTAAAACACTGATGCCATCATCTGGGTCTCTGGATGATGTCATCTTCCTCTAGAGAGAATTTACATTTGCTTCTATCATGGGATCCGGCCAGGAACTGACTGTGCAGATCCCATCGAGGAACGAGTTGCTTCAAAGCTGACCTCAGTTCTTGTCATAGTTTGCATATCTCAGTCTTATTCTTCTTGCAGTGCTTCTCAGTTGAAAACCCTGTGTGGTACCCAGGGTTCTACTTAGATGAGCCCTGAGCTTCAGATGGTGCTCTTTCTTCTGTTTGCCTCTCTCTCTCTCCTTCCTTCCTTCCTTCTTTCTGTTTTTTCTTCCCTGGTCCTTTAGAGCTCCCAACTCTTTGAACCACAGCCTCGTGGCCTGCTTCACAGCCTAAGCACACTTTATTTTGAAACTGGCAATGTGGACTGTGGAAGAACTCAGTTATAGGGTGCTTGTCTTTCTTGAGGCCCTGGGGTCGGTCCCCAGCACTGCATAAACCGGATATAGAGGTACACACCTGTGATCCCAGCACTCAAGAGACTGAGGCAGGAAGATCAGAAATTCAAGGTCATTCTCAGTTATGCTGTATAGTGAATTGAAAAACAAAGAACTGCCTGGAAGTCAGTCAGTCTGGGTTTCCTTTTGTTCTGAGATCTTGAGGACATACAGTTTTTACTGAATTGGAAGTTTTAGAATGCACACACACACACACACACACACACACACACACACACACACGTAGTCTGTTGTTTTTTAAGGTCTTACCATGTCTCCCAGGCTCATAGTGCACCTCCTACCCCAACCTCCCAGAGATCTAGGAGCACAGGGACATGAGTGCATGACATTGTGTCCAACTTAATTATTTTTATATTTTGTGTAGATTTCGATCTCAGTGAACCACATGAAAGTCACTTTTTTAAAAAAGATTTTATTTATTTATTATGTATACAACATTCTGCTTCCATGTATATCTGTACATCAGAAGAGGGCACCAGATCTCATAACAGATGGTTGTGAGCCACCATGTGGTTGCTGGGAATTGAACTCAGGACCTTTGGAAGAGCAGTCGGTGATCTTAACCTCTGAGCCATCTCTCCAGCCCTAAATTCACTTTTTTTTAATATGTCAAAAATTGTTGCAATTTGGCAATATAAATTCAATAAAAATTCTTCTCTGTGGGACAGTTGATCTGAAGCAAACTATTAATCTGAATTCTCATAATCTAGACTTAAAAGTAACAGAATACTATGGGAATGCTAGATAAGCATCACAAGATGGCATATATATATTATACATTCATATATAATGTAATGTATACTAACCAAAGAACAGTCTTCATATGGAATAAAATATACTTTATACCTTTTGTAGATTGAAGTTTAGACATTAAATCAACAATATTAGAAATGTCAGTCTACCAAAAAATGTGTGTGCCTGAAACTACCATTGTTAGACAACTGTCCCTTAGAAATGTGTCACGTGTCTTTCTCTTGTTCTTTCCTGAAGGACTGCTTATGGATGCCCAAATGCACTAAGTTTGGGTGGTTTCTGCCCTATACTCCAGCTCAGAATGAATACGGAGCCTGGAAGCAACACTACATTGCTTGTGTGTCCAGCTTGGATTGGCTAACGCCCAGGGAAGCTGCTGCTGTTTATGGAACACTGAATGAACCCAAAACAGAGGATGAGGAGTTCAAGGAGAGGCAAAGAGAAAAGTGCCTGAGAAAAGTCATATGGGAGAAAATAGCATTCCGTAAGAGTGAGTAGCATTATAAAACTTTCTGTCTTACCCAGATACTGAACAAAGGGGTTTATATATAGATTCCCACCTAGAAGAGCATGTGGGGCTACTCATCAATATAGATTACTTCCTTTTTCCTTTATTATGTACTTTAGGTTAATTTCTAATAAAAAAATTCAGATGAGATATCTAAGGTCAAGCATCTGTCTCCACAACAGTCTAATTCCAGGTTTGTAAGAGCAAAAACAAGGAAGGGATCTGATAAAATTGCTCAGTTTCTGGCATGATTGTCATATTAACCTGAAGACCTGAGTTAAAATTGCCAATACCTAAATAGTGGGGGAAACCTGAGCTAGGGTGTATGTGCCTCTTGATCCCAGTTTGAGGGAGGCAAGAACAGGAGGATCCTGGGAGCTTCGTGGCCAGCCTTCTCTGGCTGTAGTTCAATCAACCTCTAGCCTCCACTTGTGTGCTTGCACCCATAGATCTGTGTACACCCTTGTACACATGCATATGGCCTCTCCCAGCCCTTCCCCCCATGCACACATAAAAGGAGAAGGAAGTGCAAACAGAGGCAGAAAACAAGAAGTAAATCCAGGACAGAAGAATTGGGACTGGTGAAAAAGAGGAGAGAACATGGGAATGAGAGCAGGAAGAGCAATTTCTTTGAAGAGAGCAGGAAGGAAACAGGGACAAGGCCATGTGCTCAGGGAAGCCTCTGATGCATACATGTTCTTAACATACACTGTCAACTGCCTTGGGCTCACCTTTCTTTTTTCCCTCACTCTTCCCTGGGAAGACTGAAACAAATGGGAAATTACCTCCAGCTAAGGACAGAAAGGGATGCAGACTTATGGGCTGATTATCTGGTCCTCACAAGAAGAATTTCTTGTTCCCTGAGCTTTGCTAATTGACCTAAAATGACAGACAGGAAATAAACCCTATAGGAGTGTGAGCAAGTGGCTATAATTATTGTTTGGAATACTGCCCTGGCGTAGCTTTCTTTTTGATGTCTTAATCTATGTCAGCTTGGCTGGGAAAAGTGTGTAAACGGGGAGCCTGCTGCTGTTCATTTTGCAGAGGAATTATTCAAAGCTCGGCCCCCTTGGCTGAGTGGAACGCGCTGCACCGGGTGTTTAAAGTCCATGAGCCTGCCCAGTGGTCCTCGGATGTGGAGAGATGGAGCAGGATTCTATGAAGCTTTGGAGAGACAGCTGGTTTTGGCATCTTTAGATGCTTTGCCCAAACGGTGAGCAAACTCCTACCTACCAGGGTCTCAGTACTTGCCTGTACCATGAAGACTTCATTATAGAATTATTTAGCCAACATAGGGATCTTCAGGAATTGGATGGTTTGTAGTCTATGAAATGTCAGAGAAGGAGTGAATGACTTAATGTTCAAGAATAACAGTCTTTAAATGTTTTCTGAAGAGGAAACTGTGTTATGTTCAAAACTTAATGCCTAATATACTTTTAACCCTATGGTAAAGTTATATTGTAGACACTGTACATTTTCTAAAGCTGTTGACCAAAAATGATGTTTCCCTACATTTTTATGTAGTAAAAGTAACCACATAGTGTCTTTGATAGTCATCTTTCCATTGTCCTAATGAATGCTTGACATAAATATATTTATAAAGAAGGGTCTATTTTAGCTCATGGTTTCATGAACAGTTGGCTCCATTGCTTTGGGCCTGTAGTAGCATGAGCATCATGGTGGAAGCACATGACAGGAGAGGCTTACTCACTTTATGGTACCCAGGAAGTGAAGAGGAAAAGGAAAAGTCACTAGGGTCCCAATATTCCTTTCAAAAGGCCACCCTCATATCCACCTGACCTCTAAATAGCACAATGGACTGGTGACCAAGCCTTAAATACTCGAGGATAACTTCGATTCCAATTACAGAAGCATGCAAACAAATTTGGACAAAGTTCCCATTTATATTTGCAGATCTAAACACAAGTCTCTTTTCCTACTTAAATTAGAGGAATTCTGGCTGTTTCCAGTGCCAGGATTAATTTCTTTCTTTTTTAACTTTATTTTTATTTTATGTGCTTGGTGTTTTGCCTGCCTGTCTGTGTAAGGGTTCCAGATCCCCTGGAATCTGCAGTTACAGACAGTTGTGAGCTGTCATGTGGTTGCTGGACATTGAACCCTGGTCCTCTGGATGAGCAGTCAGTGCTGCTTAACGGCTGAGCCAACTCTCGATCCCCAAGGATTCAGTTTTTATTCTATCCACCTATCCTATCTGGCATTTGTAACTTCCACGATTTGTACAGCTGCTTAGAAACTAAGAAAAAGAGGTTTGTTTTGCTTTTCACTTTGGATTGTACAGGTACATTTCAAGTGCAGACACTATAAAGTCTAGATAAGTGACATAACTCACCCAATTGTCATAATATAAACACTGGGACCTAAATCCTCACATTCCAACACTCCTTCAGCTTCACCACTGACACCACATGCAGGTCTATGTTGGAACACTTGTGAGTGTGGAGCTATGTCCCACTCATCCTAAGGCACAAAAAGGCATTTAAGAAGTGTAGGGCATCTCTTGTCCTTGGTAATGTGGGGATGGGGCCATGGAGAGAATGGAGACATTACTCAGGAACATCTAAGGGCCAGAAGTGAATTAGGAATCACTTGGCTACACCTTTTAAAATATAGCTTAACTCTTAGGTGTATCATAGTATTTATTTTAAGTGCCCAATAAAAGCTAATTGAGTGTCAAAAAGCTTTCCCTGCATTCATTCCTCATGTGGAAGTGGAGAGACAATGGGGCAGATTTGGCTCTACTCAACCTGAGACCCCTATTTGTCGCTATCCCTCAGACTGCTAGGAGAGCCTAAGAACTCAGGGACAGTGGCCTTCTGCTGTCCATTGGCGTTCAGAGGATACTGGCACTTAACAAAAGTCACGTTAGCCGAGTGTTGGTGGTGCATGCCTTTAATCCCAGCACTTGGGAGGCTGAGGCAGACGGATCTCTGTGAGGCCACCCTGGTCTACAGAGTGAGTTCCAGGACAGCCTCCAAACAATACAGAGAAACCCTGTTTCGAAAAACTAAAAAAAAAAAAAAAAAGTCATGTTAGCAGAACATTAGGATTTATCCAGCCCTTTTGTCCTCTCCAGAAGCAATCTCTCTGGAAGTCACCCCTACCCTTTACTGTTAAAGAAAAATCATCATGGGGTTGGCAGGACTGATGACAGCTCTTCCTGTGCTTTGCAACCACATGTCATCCTGATCTCATCGAAGATTCCCGCATATGAGGTACCACTGTGCTAGGAAGCCCGCCCTTTCCTGAATGGCTTTTTTCATCTAGACTAACGAGATCTTTTGGCTGCCATGTGTGTGAAAATGATTCATCTCCTGAAAGGGAAATTGTCTAATCAAGTGAACATTTACAAGACCCATACAGTTTTAAAAATTGGAGGCAATAAACATAAAAGCAATCAAACTTATTCTGAAAAAGCATGAGAGGTTCAAATTGCCACGTGTGCAGTTGTTGTCAAAATACTCCTGTTGGATTGAACTTGTTGCTCTTAAAAAAAAATTAAACAGTCAGCATGATGATTACAAATAGTTAAAACTCTTCCAGAATTCCCAAGAAGTTTAATAATATTATGTGATCAATAGTTTTCAAAAGTGGGTTAGAAGTATTATTTTATGGCCTATTTAAAAATTGTCATTAAATTAAAATATGATCATTACAAAATGCAGGTAGAGCTAGGTATAGTAGTGTGTACCTGTAATCCAAGCATTTAGGAGGAGGCTGAGGCCAGGAGGATAGATGCAAGTTTGAAGCCAACCTGGATATAGAGAGTATCAAGTAGGCTAGGACTATATAATGTGAGACAGTCTCAAAATATAAAAATAAGTAAAATGAAGTTATGTGTTTTTATTACTTATATAATTAGAAGATTTAAAAATCTACTTAAGAAGTCAATTGCAAAATGGTATTAATTCAATTTTATTATTTTTAATAAGTTGTGTATAAGTCTGTATGGCATGTACAAAAATAAAGATAACCTAAATCATTAGTGCTATTTATCTGCATGATGGAATTACAAATGAACCTCATAGTTCCCTCACAATTAGAGAAGAAATAAAGAAGCCAGAGGGAGTTTAGTCTCTTCCTTCTGTACTTTCTGAAATAATTCTTTAGCAACAATAGCATATTGTTGCTAAACATCACCTCGGTTCTTTGACTAGCTCTAAAGCTCACACACACTGACTCCTACAGCTGCAGTCTCACTTCTAGATGGTGGTGGAGAGCGTTAAGGTGGGTGTCGTGGCCATGCCGTATGAACACAGCGGTATGACCTTGGAGGGCCTGCTTCATCTCACAGACCGAGCTCTGCAAGGGCAGAAGGCACGGAGACTGGGGATATTTAGCGGTGGAAACAGCAGAGAAATTGACTTACTCCAAGGTTGGTCTGGGGGTTTTGGAGAACAGTCCCACAGCTTGAGTATCTGCAGTGGTTACCCACAAATGTAACTGTCACAGAGCTGTTATGTTCTGATTCACTGGGAAAGGTTCATTTTGTCTTCATGAAGAAAGGAAAGTAACTTTTGATTTTTTTTTTTTTGAGACAGGGTTTCTTTGTTTAGCTTTGTAGACCAGGCTGGCCTTGAACTCACTGAGATCCACCTGCCTCTGTCTCCTGAGTCCTGGGATTAAAGGTGTGTGCTACCACTGCCCAGCAACTTTTGATGAATTTTGATGATAATCTTAAATATTGTGATTAAAATCACAGCATAAGAATTACAATCTTAATCCTTTTTAAGTGTGCAGTTTGATTATTCATATTCCTTCTTCTTCTTTTTGGTGTTTTGAGATAGGGTTTCACTGTGTAGCCCTGAATGTCCTGGAACTCGCTCTGTAGACCAGGCTGGCCTCGAACTCACAGAGATCCACCCACCTCTGCCTCCTGGGTGCTGGGATTAAAGGTGTGCACCACCACTGCCTGATTCACATTCCTGTAAAGCTTTTCTATCTTGCAAAATTGAAACTCAGGAACACCTGTCTTCTCCTAGCCCGGCCCTCTGATAACCACCATACCCTTAAATACAGGTATGGAAGCACTATTTTGTCTTTTTGGGACTTGATTTTTCACTTATGCGCTCTGAGTTCATACACTTTACCAATTGATTTTCTCTCTCTCTCTTAAGGCCGAATACTAATCTACTCTATGTATGTGCTCCAGTTTGCCTATTACTTGACCTACTAGTAGTCATTCAGGTTGCTTCTACTTCCTGGTTGTCATGAGTAACTAAGAACCTCTTTTGCTCTTGCTTTCAGTAGTTATGGAGATATACCCATAAGTATGATATGGTGGCTCTCTTTTTATTTTAAAAGGCCTCTATACCGTTTTCCATAACTGTTTTATTAACAGTGTACAAGTATACCAAGTTCTCTGTGCCATTTACTTGTTAAAGGTTTTTGTTTTACAGTATCCAATCTCATTGTGTTTTGATTTGCCCATCTCTGTTAAGTGATGTTGAACATCTGTCATATGCTTGCTGCCCATTTGTATGTTTTCTGAAACAAGCCCTTTGCTTATTAAAAAGTGGTTTGATTTTTTAATACGTTAAGTTGTAGGCATTCTTTGTATGTTATGGATATTAATTCCTTACCAGATATGTGATTTCAAGTATTTTCTCCTCTTCTACAATATCTTTGTCACTGTCCTATTACTGTGAGAGACACCATGACCAAGGCAACTCTTATAAAAGAAAGCATTTAGTTGGGGGCTCACTTACAGTTTCAGAGGTTTATTCCATTATCATCATGTCAGGAATCATGGCAGCAGGCAGGCAGACATGGTGCTGGAGAAGTAGCTAAGAGCCTTATCCTGATCTATAAGCAGAGAGAATGAGAATGGGTCTTGCATGGGCTTTTTGAAACTTCAACGCCCACCCCTAGCAACATGCTTCCTCCAACAAGGCCACATCTATCCCAACAAGGCTATACCTCCTAATCCTTCTAATCTTTTCAAATAGTGCATCTCCCTGTTGACTAAGCATTCAAATACATGAGCCTATGGGTGACATTCTTATTCAATCCATCACTCAAAAATATCCTTTATACTTTATCTTTTGGTGCACAAAAGTTTTGGGTTTGATGAAAGAACAGTAATTACAATAGCAATGAGCACTGAGATAAATAAATTGATGAGCACTTACCACCTCTGATGAAATCCCATTTGATTTGTACTGCACAGAAAAGGAATAGTTGACATAATTAAGTTGTTATGAGGAAATTAAAAGATCTCATCAATATTTACCTCTCTGTAGGAGGGAGACAATGAATACATTTAAGAAAACTTCTAGCATTTATCCTTCATACATAACTTGCTTTTCCCCTTGCTTGTGTCTAAAGCAGAATTGTTTTAATTTTATTAACATCAATACTTCCATCCATGTTGGATGAGAGAAGAGGAAACAAATCAGATGGTCCAGCTTCCATGGAACTTGCAAAATGACAGTGTTGCAGTCTTCTTTGGGCCACCAGCTCACAGAAAATGGCATGGAGACTTATTAATAATGAAGGCTAGACACATGCTAGTTGTTCCTAACTAGTCTTATAACTTAAATTAATTCATATTTTCTAATCTATGTTCTTTTACATGGCTCAGTTACCTTTACTCTGTACTGCCCATCCTGCTTCCTCTGCATTTGGCTGACGACTCCATCTTTCTTCTTCCCAGAACTCTCTGTCCCCAGAAGTCCCACTTAACTTCTTCCTGCCTAGCTAATGGCCAATCAGCTCTTTATTAAACCAATCACAGTAACACATCTTCTTCATCCAGTGTAATGGAATATTGCACAGTATGGCAGGATGAGTCACAAATCAGTCCTGAGGAAGTGGGGGGGGAAAGGAAAGTTTGAGGTGATGTTTGTCAACTCTAGGATCCTTACTTCTGCTCTGACCTTATTTTTTCGGAGCTTTTTCAATTTGGAAATTAGTTACCAGACCCCAGGACTTGACTGGCCATTCACTTTAAACTTTGTTCAAGCGCGGTGACACCCAATTCTGCACAGTAAAGGCAGAAACACAATGACCAAAATTTAAGTGTATAACACCACATTCACCCAGGGTGCGAAGGAGCCAGCAGCAGCCACAGTGCTGTTCAGTAGCACTTTTGTGACCTGACCATGTTGCTTCATGAAGCATAGTTGCACTGGAGAGCTTGGTTTTAGGGGCAAATACTATGTTTTGAATTTGTGATTTCATTTTTACAAACTGCTAAAAGTTGCTGTTTTTAATGATATAACCAATCTTGATATTTTAACTTTTTCCTTAGGCTATAAGATTTGTATTAAAAATTTACTGTGTCCTGAAGTGAGAGACTTCTGGGAGAAATTGGGAAGCTGTGTGGCCACCGAAGAAGAAGGGGGACGTGTAGACTTCTTTGTGCCACTTGGAGCATCAGGTCAGTACCAACATTCTAGAAAGGCAGGGGACATGTCTCCTTGTGATATTATCTTGTGAGGTGCCTTCACAAATGAGGCCATTTAATGCATGAATCAATGACTCATTCCTTTTTACCACTGTAATTATTGCATGAAACACCATTACATATATAATGTATTTATTTACAATTATAAATTATAATCTATAGAATGTATTCTATAACTCATAAGTGGAGTTGCAGTGAGCATATGTGTGAACATGTACAGTCACTTCTCTAAAGTATATACGATCCCAGTGGTGTGCATTTAACTCTTACAAAGCCAACAAACCTGCTTTTCAAAGTGGTTCTACACCTTGGCTTTTCTACAGAGTATGTTTGAGAACTGCCTTGCTCAACACTGTGATACTTGTTTTAGTTTTAGCCATTGCAGTGGAAACAGAAGCATCTTGTGGTGGTTCTATTTTGCAGTTTCCTACTGAGTCATGACACCAAGCATCTTTATGTTCTTATCCATCGTTTAAAAATCTTCTTTAGGGTCTTTTCAAGTATCTTGCACATTTTGAAAAGTAGATTGTTTTTCCATTTGGTGCCTTATGTTTTCTTTCTCTGGATAGTTCTGCTGAACAGCAGAATTTCTTAATTTTGATGAAATCAAATTTATCACCTTTACTTTTGTAATTATGGTTTATTGTCATATTTTAAAATTATTTTAAAAGTATAGATTTTAAAATCTTAAACCTATAGGTGTTCTGTCACATTTATGTTTATACCACATGGGTGCAGTGCCCATGAAGGCCAGAAGAGGGCGTCAGATTCTCCAGAACTGGAGTTTACACAAGGTTGTCAGAGGCCATGTGGGTACTGGGAACCAAACCTGGGTCCTCTGGAAGTGAAGCCAGTGCACTTAACCTCTGAGCTATCTCTCCAGTCCCCATATTTTTAAACTCCTTGCACAAGCAAAGATCAAAAAGGTCCCCTCCTGCACTTCAAAGGAGTTGATATTTAAGTTTGGCATTTATATCTGTGGCCCATTTGATTTACTTCAGAATATGTGGCATGGGTTGGAATTTAATTTGCTTTGCACATGGGTACCGATTTTCCCAGGACCATTCCTTGTAAGTCAGCCTTTTCTCTCCCCATGAACTTTATGTACAAGTTCACTGCAATCAGTTGATGATGTGGACTTAAGTGCACTCTCTGTCTGTGAACTCTTGTGGTCTCTCTCTCTGACTTCATTGTCAATGAAAACATTAGGCATCTAACAAGATCAGCTTCTACCATCTTGTGCCTAGAAGCAATAGAGTATTTAGTTTTGAACTACAAAGACTTAAAATACCCTATCCATTATGTACGTGTCTTCTCAACTACTTGAATCTGTTCACTGAATTCAATAATCCACTCTATATTCCAATCTGTGTCACTGAAGGGGAGAAAATAATGCCACATTAAATTTTGACTATGTTGTCCATCCTGGGTTTATATGTTTTAACTGTATCCACTTTCAACAACAATTCTCCTTTGCTCATAATGTTTTAGAAAACCCCTGTGAGGTTTTCTCTGTCTTTGGCTTAAATATTACATGTCTGAAGGTAAGCATTTGCTCTAGTGGCAGGCCCTCTCTCCATATCTTATTGCTTTGTTCTCACAAACTAGGTATTTGGACTTCTGTCTGTATTGATAATGGTGAGATATTTATGTACTCTTTGATAGAAGGATTTGAATTGAAGATGATGACAATTTCTTGTGGTCTTTTTTGGCCAGCTCTGTCTTATTTCTAAGTAATATTTGACTGTTTCTGCAGAAACCTGTGAGTAAACTAATGTAAGCTTTTTTGACTGTACAGAAGCAGGCATAGAAGTTCTTTCTCAGCTGTCTCAACTAACTGGCACATTCTTTTCTGCCCCCACTGGAATCGCGACTGGTTCATACCAACACAGTAAGTATATATGAGCGCTGGATGCTGTGCCCAGTAACATACAGCCACTTCAGCATCCCTGAAGGACAAGAACTACTAAAGCATGCTCTTTGTCTCATCCTCTCCATCAGCAAGCCACGCTATACACCTTTGCCAATGTGCACCAGTCCCCATCTGCCTACAGCAGTTGCTACCCTCTTTGAAGGGATGTTGTCCCTTCCATAGCCATGGCATTTCACATCACAGGTCATTCATTTAGAGGAGAAGTCTTTGCTGCAAATGTTTTGCTTCAAGCCATCATCTACTAAAACCCTCTTTAAAGAGTTCAGCAAAATTGTCCAGTTGCTGATTTAGAGGAAGAATGTGTTTTCCTAGTCTCCCCTCCCCCATTTGGTTTTATTCGGGAACAGAAAGTGGAGCTCTCAGAAGTGGGAGACAGGATTTACTTAGTTCCATGCAGTAGCATGATCAAGAAGGGAAACAGATCAAAAGAGAAAATACACCTGCATATATATATATATATATATATATATATATATATATATATATCTTCACTGACACAATACAGCTACTAATACCGGCTGACAAGAGAAACAGGTGGCCATCTTATAATATCACTCATCATTTTCTCTTTGAAAACTCCCCCTCTTCCTACCAAACAGGGCTTGGCCTGCCTTGGAAATAACACAAACACTGATTCTTTAGTTCCCAAAGGCCTTTCATGACTTGGGGGTTGGGGTGGGTTTGGCATGAGTGTGACACTTGTAAGGGAAATGATTCCATGTAGGGGAACAGAAGGGCACTGACTTCATAGTTCACACAGTTCTGAAGCAGACACAGCCAGTTCACTGTAGTTCACACATCAGCAAACAATGGTGCCTGTGGCTCTGTGGAGAGAATTGCCTAGCTCAGCACAACAAGGTTTGGGCCCTGTTGTTTGCTCTTAGGAACAGCTGTACTTCCTTTTCTCCTCCTGTCCCCGTCTCTTTCAGTGGTTTCTTCTTACTTTCCTTGTAAAAGAACACATTAGAAAGTTTTGCACATGCTTGTCGTGACAGGAGAACCAAAATGGATCTGACTACCCATTCGGGTAAAAAAACAACAGCAGCAAAACCAATGTGCACTCAATCATGAGGTAATTACTTGCAAGGAGACTAACTTTCTTAGACATCCACCATAGCCATTCGGAATCTTATAGTTCCCTGTAATTTGAGAAAGAGATAGGAGTGGCCTTGAATGGCATGGCAGGGTGTGGGAAGTGCTGAGTAGGAAGAATTCTCACTTTTAGAATGGAGAGACACATTCTTACTTACATCCATCCACTCGGCTTCCCAAAGCACCAGGCAGCGATTTCATTTCTAATTTCAAGTAGAACATGTCAACCTTATCTGCCATGAACAGACGGGCATTCGCTGTGTCCTTTTCGAGTTTCTTATTTTATCACTGAAAGCAGGCTGTGGCTGCTTATCTTCTCCCAAGAAAGGACACCATACCCGGTATAAAGACAGCCGGGTGGTTGTACTTTAAACAAAAAGTAGAAAACCCCTGCCTCAGGTCAAGTCTTGAGCTACTTGGAGAGCTCGAGGCTAATGAGAGGCCTTGTCGAAAATAATAGGTGGACAGCAGCTGAGAAACAACCTCTGAAGTTGACCTCTGGCCTCCACATGTAAGTGCACACATGTGCACTCATACACATGTGCACCTGTACACACACACACACACACACACACACACACACACACACACACTGATCGCAAGTCTTCAATGATAAAAGTAAAAATCCTGTCAGTTCTTAGTGACTGGCTGGGGCCACAGCAGGATAGGCCGTCTCCTTCTGACTACTTCAGTGAGTCCAAGCTGCAGGCATGGACCAGCTTCACAGACTCCCTGGAAGACACCTTGAAATCAGTGAGGAAGGAGTTACACCCACTCTTCAAGAACTTGCAGAAGAGCATAAGTGGCCGGATCATAGGTAAGATATCTGATACTTCCTCTGCAGATCAGGCCAGGGCTTATTGATTGCCTGAGAAAATTCAAGACTGAGAATCGCATAAGCAAAACCCAGCTGTAACCCATGCTTGGTCAAACATCATCACCTTGGTTTTTCAAATATTCAAGATAAGCTAGTCATGCTCAGAATGCTGGTGCTGACTCCTCTTTTCAGGTTTCTCCATCTTTTTTGGCCCATAGGACAGCCCATCTGTTGGCAATGACCCCTGTTTTCAGGCTTCTTCATCTTACTGGTCCATCTGTCCTGGACAGAACTTGCTTTTTGCCCAACTAGAGAACTGTATCTTTTCCCACTACAACTTTCCAGATATTAATCACTTCTTACTCATGGCGTCTACTGCCCAACTTGTTCTACTGTTCAGTTATTATCTAAAATCCATAATTCACCCAGATGCCTCAGGTAGATAAGCCGATTCAGGTTCCCCTCCAATTGTGCATATAAATTATATATTACAATTTCCTTCTTAAACAACAAAATAAAATATGCAACTTAGTGCTAGGCTCCATTGTCTTTTAATGAGCCTGTTAGACATCACTGAATCAATTTTCCATTCCCCTTATCAAATTACCATAATAATCTTTGAGGAATAATGTACTGGTTAATATTAAATCATAAACTAAAGCAGTCCACTCTTTAAAATGAGGCACTTTTACCATCTGGGTAAATATGTCCCCCATCACCTCTAACCATCTCTTCATATTTTAAACATTCTATCTGACTAAGACCGTATCATTTGAACACTACAGACCTGTGCCTTCCTCTTGCTCCCTGCTGTGCACACAAACAATTGCACATGTGTTTTGTATTTTGCATGTGCCACCACTACCTGGCAAACTTTGTAATTTTTTTTCTGGTTTTCTTTTTGGGGGGTGGGTGGGTTCTTTAAGAGTTTTTTGTTTTGTTTTGTTTTGTTTTGTTGTTTTTTTAACATTCCAGTCCCAGTACCCACCCACTTCGTTCTCCTCCTGCTCTCCCTCCTTCCCCCATCCCACCTCCCTTCTGCTCCTCAAAGAGGGTAAAGCCTCCCCTAGGATGTCAACTAAATCTGTCCCATCACCTCATTGAGGCAGGACCAAGATGCCTGCCTCCCCCCATGTCTAGGCTGAGTAAGGTATCTTTCCATAGAGAATGGGCTCCACAAAGTCAGTTTATGCATTAGAGTTATGCTTTGGTCCCATTGCCTGTGTCTTTATATACTGCCATTGTCACCTGTATTCAGGGGTCCTAGTTCAGTCCAGTTGACAGCATGGAGTCAGTGATCTTACTAGCTCTGCTCAGTTGATTCTGTGGGTTTCCCCATCGTGGTCTCGACTCCTTTGTTCATATTATCGATCCTCACTTCGACTGTGTTCCAGGAGGTTGGCCCAATGGTTAGTTATAGATCTCCGCATCTGCTTCCACACACAGGTATTTTGTCCATCAGTACATTATATGTTTTGCTTTACAAATGCCTCTTATGTAGAGATCTTCCCCTGAATTTTTCTGTACTACCTTCTCTATCACTTTTAAGAAATTCTAAACCAATATTCTTAAATAGTTTAGAAACTATAAACAGCCAGGCGGTGGTGGCACATGCCTTTAACCCCAACACTCGGAAGGCAGAGGCAGGCAGATCTCTGAGTTCGAGGCCAGCCTGGACTATAAAGTGAGTTCCAGGACATCCAGGCTACATAGAGAAATCCCATCTCAAAATAAATGAACAAACAAAAAACAAGACAAGACAAAAGCAACCCCCACAACAAAACAAAACCTATAAACTAGGAGAAACAATTTCCCCTTTTTCTTTTACACATACTAAGGATTAGATAGAAAAATGGAAAAGTAAATATTTTTTATGAAAGTGTGTTGGCAATGAGAAGTTGATGGGATAAGTTATTTTCCAGTAAAAGTATGTAAACATTAAAATATTAAAAATGAATAATTGTCTTTGTATGTAGGCATTTTCTCTGAACTTAAAATATTTACATTTGAACACAAGATAAGGGGAAATGGGAGCATCTAACATTTTCAGTTGAATCTAACATTGAACATATATAGCATTCATGATTTCTTTTATTATTGTCTGATTCTTAGATTCCATTTTAATATCAGTTTTGCCACACTGAAATCACTTTGACTTATTTCCTATTTTATAACAGAACTTCTCATGGCAATGACAAAAATTTGGTCCTGGTCCTTGCATTGTTGTCCACTAAAAAATAACTGAGATGACCTTTTTCTTTACTATCACATGACTTGCATTAATTAAGTACAGTGCATGTGCCTTACATTTCAGGGCAATTTATGTTTGACACTCTGAGTATGGCCAGCATTCTAAATAACCAGGATACTGCACAGGCTCTGGCGGATGGACTGATGGAGTTGTCAAGAGAAGGGTCTGTAAGTGTTGTTGAAGAAAAAAAAAAAACTGGACAAATTTCAGCACAAATAAACCCTTCATTCCATTTGTTACCTTTCACCAGTTTATCACTCTGGGACAGAGTTCCTCAGAGAAATGACATCAGTTTATAAAAGCAGGCACAGAGAGATTCTGGGCTTGGCATGTGATGTACTGTGTATATAAAACCGAGAAGCAGGAGACCTCCTGCTTAAAGCCAATAATTTGTGTGCTGTTTTCTGTCTTCTGCCTAGTTTCAGTTAGAAGTGACTACGTTAGAAGACATGTTCACAGCCATACAGTCCACATACATGTTAGTATGGACTGAGGAATTGAAACATGTGCAACAGATACAAAATGATGCTGGGCCAAGGGGGCTAGATGAGAGAGGATAGTAAAGAAAACACAAAGGAAAGCAGTTGAATCAGCATTGGGCAACAGGGATAGTTGGGGGCCTTTCAAGAAGTCTTTGTATTACATGGCATTTTGGACACTCTACCAGAAGAGGAGTGTACATTTCAAAAGACTGGAAGAGGTTAGCTGGCTGGGAAGCCTGGTGTAGACAGAAAAGTGCCTGCTTTGCAAGTGTGAGAACCCCAGTTTGACCTCCAGAACCTGTGTGAAACAAGTGAGGTATGGTGGCAGATGCCTGTGATCCAAGTGCTTCGAGGGAGAAACAGGCAGATCCCTGGGGCTTTCTGGCCAGCCAGCAGTGCTTACTTGGTGAGTTCCAGACCAATGAGAAACCCTCTTTAAAATAAAAAGTGGACAGTGCCAAGATTGTCCTCTGGCTTACACATACACACACACACACACACACACACACACACACACACACACACACACACACACGTCCATAGGCTCCCTTTCTCACAGCCTCAAAGATAACTGTGGAGCTGAGGGGAATGAACAGATAATTGGGGGAAGTCAGAATAAGAGGAGAAACCATGATTGGTGCATTCTCAGGGCTGTGCAAGACTTTACTCTTCAAGGACGGACTCCCTCCTCTTGTGGTGATTGTACCTTTAAACATGATCTCTGCACACATGCCCTCTCCTTGCTGCTGTCTGTCTGCTCTGGTTTCCCTTGGTTTTCTGGGGCAGCACCAGATAGCTGCAGGCTTAGTTACACTGTGTGGAGCCATGAACTGCCTGCTGTGGAATTAGCATAGTGGTTCTCCAACCTAATACACAGTGAGCCTTGACAAGTTTCTGTGTTAAATGAATATAGCTATTCATAGAAACCCAAAGGCCTGGACAGATCCTGCATTTCTCTCAAACACCAATGGGCTAAGCATGTTTAGCGGGGGAAGAACCATATATGACATAATTTTGATGAGGCTCAAACCTACAGGGTGAGAGGGAAGCAGGCCCCACAGGGAGTTTGTATGTTCCCAACAGTGGTGCTGGTCTGCCTCTCTCTGCTAGGCTTGCTTCCCTCCTGAGAGACCACAAGATCCTTGCTGATTTTTCCCTTGTGTTGCCAAGGGTTGTTGTGAACCACTTGGAGTCTAAAGATCTTGAGAGATCCTTCCATAAGACCTTGAATTATGGAAAAAAGCTGAGAACCAAGAATATAGGTTCTGCTATATTCTTGTGCTATATTCGTCTGCTAACCAGAATATAGGATGAGGGGAAATTTACTAATGTTAGCTGAATAGCAGTTACTTTGTTTTCTAGTCGTATGATTTAAGTAGAGAGCTGAAAAGTCTGCTAGAAATGTGTCCTTTTTCATGTGTCCATGTGTAGTGCACGTGTGTATTCATGTGCGTGTGTGTTGTGAAAATATTATTTTAACTGGGCAAAGATGTGTTACATTTGTTTATGCTGTGGAATATTACTTTAACTATGTAAAGGTGTGTTACTTTCCGTTTATGCTGCATTTGTTTAATCATGAAAAGGCGTGTTGCATTTGTTTCACCTTGCCTGCCTAAGGCACTTGATTGGCCTAATAAAGAACTGAATGGTCAACAGCTAAGCAGGCAAAGGATAGGTGGAGCTGGTAGGGAGAGAGAATAAATAGGAGAGAAATCTAGCCTCGGCGGAAGGAAGAGTAAGAGAAGAAGGAGAAGAGAATGAGGGACATTCCTGGGGCAAACCAGGGAGGGGCAAGCCACAGTGGCACCAGCCAGACATGAGAAGTAGTGAAATAAGATATACAAAAAAAAAAAAAATAAAAAGCCCCAAGGCAAAAGGTAGATAAAGAAAACAGGTTAAGTTAAAAGAGTTAGCCAGAAAAGAACTAAGGCCAAGCATTCAAAACTAATAATAAGTCTCTGTGTCATGATTTGGGAGCAGGTTGGTGGCTCCTACATGTGTGTGATGTGTAATGTGTGTGATGTGTATGTGTGTCTGTAGGCAGGGGTTGGCATCATGTGTTTTCCTCGAGCACTTTCTGCCTCATGTTCTGAGACAGGGTCACTCACTGACTCAGGTTACAGGCATGTGACTCTAGAGCCCAGTTTTTCCTTGGTGCTGGGATCAGAACCCAGGTCCTCATGCTCACACAGGCCCTTTACCAACTGAACCCAGCCCATGCTCTCTTTTCTGTAGTATGTTTAACATATCAGATGAATATTTTACACAGGATATTTTTTTTGGGGGGTGTCATTTTTTTCAGGACAAACCTCTGGAATTTTTGTCATATTTTCTGCTGAGGAAATCTAGTAAAAAGAGAGAGGGACTTGAAGGAAATGATATCCTGTTAGAATGTGACGCAAAAGTAACATCGGATCCACTCATGAAGGTAAAAGTTGCTGTTGTGTTTTTATGCCTCAGTGCTTCTCTGTAGAGGGAGGATCCTGTTGGGAAGAGATTCTCCTGAAGGATGACAGTTTTCCTGGAAAGCTTCAAGCTGCCAATTGTTTCAGGAAGATCATTGTCATGGAGTATTGTTAAATGGGGTGTTTTGTGGCACTCTCTGTGAGTGGATGGGGTGTTGGCACTCTGTGAGTGGATGTGTTTCGTGGCACTCTACCTGAGTGGCATTTAAGTCACTTCAGAGCACAAGCTCCTTCCCTGACTGTGTTTTGCTGGAGCAGAGCTGCAGATCTGCATTTTGCTTAACCACTTACTCCCCTGAGTTCTCACTGAGGTAACTTGAAAGAAAAAAAAAAAAATCACAGACTTAAGATGCTTTGTTGTGTATGAAACTAATTCTTCTTTCACAGTGGGTGGTGGCACACAGTTTTAATCCTAGCAGGTGGATCTCTGTGAATTCTACGCCAGTCTCGTCTATGTATCAAGTTCCAAGGCCACCCAGGGCTACATAATTAGACTCTGTCAAAACAAAACAAAACAAACAAAAGAATTCCTTTTTTCCTCTCCTCCTTCCTCTTCCTTTTCCTACTCTTCCCTTTCCTCTTCTCTTTTCTGAGATACAGTCTACTGTAGACCAGGCTGGCTTTGAACTCACCAAGGAGCTGAGGAAGATCTTGAACTCCTTCCTAATCCTCCTGCCCTGCCCTTGCCAGGTCCTAGGATTGCAGGTGTATGGCACTATGCTGGGCTTATGAAGAACTGAGATCAAGCCCTGGGTTTCATGAATGATAGGCGATGATACACTACAGACTATTGCAGTTGAGATTCAAATTCAGATGCCCTGGAACTGGAGTTTCAGATGGTTGTGGGTACTGGGAACCAAACCCCAGTCCTCTGCAAGAGGAGCTCCCAGGACCTGATGCCTCTAATTTCTGCATGTATATAAAGATGGGAGGTGGGCAGGGCCCTTTAAAAAGTAAATGTAGGCTTGGCGCTGGTGGAGCACGCCTTTAATCCCAGCACTTGGGAGGCAGAGGCAGATGGATTTCTGTGAGTTAGAGGCCAGCCTGGTCTACAGAGTGAGTGCCAGGATAGGCTCCAAAGCTACACAGAGAAACCCTGTCTCAAAAAAAAAAAAAAAAAAAAAAAGGAACCTAGTAAATGTGCACAGGTGGTGCTCTCAGTGGCTGCAGCTGAGGGCGTATCCTGTCAGAACCCCAAGTGGAGGCCAGTACAGATGCCTGAACACTAATAGGCTCCAAAGCGACACAGAGAAACCCTGTCTCAAGAAGCCAAAATAAACAATAACTAAATAAACAAATAAAAAAAAACTCTTTAAAAGAAGGAGAAAGATTAGGAGGAGGGGACGAAGAGAAGGAGGAAGGAAGGAGGAGGAAGAAGGAGAAGGAAGAAGCAGAAGTGGGAGAAGGAAGAGGAAGAGAAGAAGGAGGAAGAAGAGGAGGAAGTAGAGGAAGGAAGGAAGGAAGGAAGGGAGGGAGGGAGGGAGGGAGGGAGGGAGGGAGAGAGGGAGGGAGGAAGAAAGCAGCAGCAGCTGGGATGAAGTAAAGCTCCTGCATGCACACCACAGGGCAGAATCTGATGTGTCAGCTCTCAGGTGACCATGCACAGCACGTTGATGCATCAGATTTTGATTGCTGTCAAACACCTGAAACAATGGAAGGAGACAGGTTGTATCTCCATGGTCTCTGAGGTTTCAGTCCACAGTTATGTAGCCCTATTGCTTTTGGGCCTGTGGCCAGGCAGTGCATTGTGGTGGAAGCATGAGATGCAGAAGAAACAGCTTGCCTCCAGATGAGCCTGGCAGTGAACACAAGTGGGAAAAGGAAGGCAAGCCTAGGTCCCCGGATCCCTTTGAGAGTGTGCCCCCATGACCCAATGTCCCATCACTAGGCCCCACCTCCCAGTACAGGACAGAGACTAGCTTTCCACACATGGTCAGTCTTTGAGGGACATTTGAGTACCAAGCAATAGCAGGTGGTTTTCCACATTAGAGCAGCTACCTTATGTGAGAGGTTGCACTATAATTCTGCAGTGTTTCAGCTGTCCTCATTTTGAGACTGTGTGAGTTTTGATTCTCATTTTACATCTGCAGCTGTTTTCTCCCGCAGAGCCACTGGTGTCTCCACTGCCTTGATAAAGTGATGGTTTTCTAGCTATAAATAACTAGCACTGTAATTTGTTTTAAAATGAAGAGTGTTCTACTCATAGGGAAATTCTGAAGTTTTTTTTTTTCTTCAAAATTTAAAGGTCCCTCCCTCCCCAAGCCAAAAATATAAAAACATACCACACTGACATGAGACACTCTAACATGGAAAAAACAGGGAGTCCCTGGAGCAGACAGGTGCTCTAGATGTGAATGGCCACTGCTCAGGGATCACCTCCTGTACCAAAGTTTCTGCCTGCTGTATAAACTGTTGACATGCTCCATGGTGATGTTAAGGGGAAAGTTTTTATTGTAGATGAGAGAGAGAGAGATAGGGAAAGAACAATTAGATGCATCTGGAAGAGTACAGAGCAGAGAGAGAGGTGGGGCATAATGAGAATAGCAGGGCTATAAGGAGAATGAGTTGTTGTGGGGGGGTGTTGGGTTAGGGGGAGATTGGGTTGTGTGGGGGAGCCCATGTACTGAAGGGTAAAGGAGGAAGTGAGAAAAGCTAATATGCTAGCCTGGGCTTTGAAATGTTTAACAGGTATTTGTGGTGCTGAGGAGGTTAGAGGCCAGCATGATCTTTGATATGCTAACAGGCACCACTGGTAGCCATTTGTCCCTTCTGATAGAGGTTAGGGAAATGACTCCTTTTCAGAGATGGGAACCAGCTGGCTTTTATCTAACTGCCAGATATCCTCCTATAGTTCAGGTTGAGCTCATTTCTGGATATTTGCACTGCTTTTTGGAGTTTGGGGAATTAAGAGTTGCCTTTGGACCTGACAGCTGCTATATGAAACCATACAGCTACAGAACTCGTTCATTTTTTCCTGATTAGGTAAAAGGAATCTTGGTTGAAAACTGATGTTTATTAACTAGGCCTGATGGTGCACACCTGTAATCCTTCTAGGAGGGTCAAGAGATCAAGATCAGCCTTACCTTGAGAGCAAATCTAAGGAGAGTCTAGGACATTGGGGACTTTTTCTCAAGGCAACAGGACAAGCAAAACCTCAAACAAGGTGAAGTTTGTTCTCCAACAGCTTCCAAGGACAGCAGGGGATCTCTACTAAGAGTTTTATCCTTGAGTAGGGAGAGCTGCCATCAGAACTGCTATTCTGGTCTTCCAGGGCTATTGTTTTGTTCCTAGAAGGGCCCCCTAGGATGCTTGCTGCTCAGGTAACCCTGGGACTTTTTAATTTTGATGTGCTAATTTAGAGGCAGGCTGCAAGATACAGTAAAGAGAGAAAAAGCCATATTTAAAAGTGAAAGCAGACAAATCTTGTGAACTGTTTTATGACACTTTATCATGAGTTGAAAAAAGGGGTGAATTTAATAAAGTGTTAGAGCTTGTTCTCTCTAGCATCTTCAAAGTGAGATTAGCCACTTCCCAGCAGCTGCAAAGGGAAGAAGCAGTGTCTAGGTCAAGCCCACTCTCAGGAGTGTGTAAGTTCTTTAAGCTTGAGGAGCCCTGAAGGGCAGGATCCCTACACCCACCCTGCCTTTCAGGGAAGAAGCTAGAATTTAGTTTTTAAGTGTAGTAACTCAAAGGAAACTAAAGGCTGTTTATATTTTTAAATTTTCTGTGTGCACTTGTGTGTGCATATGAGTGCGCACACGTATACATGTGTATACAGTCTGTCTGTCTGTCTGTCTGTCTACCTACTTATCCATCCATCCATCCATCCATCCATCCATCCATCTATCTATCTGTCTATCGAGACAGGGTCTCTCACTGAGCCTGGAGCTTGCTATTGTGGATAGACTGGCTGACCAGCAAACCCTGGGGACCCTCCTCCTTCTTCCTCCTAAGGCTGGGATTACATGTGGACACTATTACCCACTGAACCAACTCCTGAGTCCCTAAGGTAGAGGTTCTCAACCTTTCTAGTACGACAACACTTTAATACAGCTAGCTCCTCATGCTGTGGTGACCCCAGCCATAAAATTATTTCATTGCTACATCACAACTGTAATTTTGCTACTGTTATGAATCTTAATATAAATATCTAGCAAGCAGGATATCTGCTATGTGCCCCCCCCCCCAGGGGTGGAGACCCATTGGTTGGGAACCACTGCCCTAAGGGCTGCTACTAAAAACATAAATCTTAAGTTCAAGAGAGGTGCCACATTTGTCAGGTGCTTAATTCAGTGTACCTAGGGACCTTGCGATGACAACTAAAGGCAGATGGCTTTCCAGGGCTTGTATGTGCAGAGTACTAAATGGGCTTTCAGGAACTACACGACCCACCTCCAAGTAACTAAGTTCCATTTCATCTCCAGGAAAGAAGTGCCATAGAAGGCAATTCTCAGGACACAAAGTCTAGTCCAAGCCAAAGGGACCTGAACATGGAAGTGCTGCTTAAGCTGGTAAGCCACCTATTACCAATTAGGATCTTAACAGATCTTCCCTTCACTGACAGGGAAGGTTCATTATTTACCATGGTTAGTTCTTTGTTTTTCTTGGAAACATTCCTTAAAGAGAGGAACAACCAACTAACTACTTAACTGAACTGGAAGAAAACCCACTTGGTAGATTTTTTTACCCCCCCCCCCCCGAAGGCTATGCTATAGACTCTGAAGTTGATTCAAAAGATGAAGACATGGCATCTGAGGGGGGAAAAAAATCTGTATGTGACTGTATGGTTTTCTAGGACATCATTTAAAGAAAGGGCACATGATCTCGAAGGGTTTTTAATTGGCTGACCAACTTACAAGCTAACTTTAAACATCTGCTCTAGTCATTATCTGGGAAGTGATCTGCCCTGGGGGAAGGACAGCCTTTAGAGAGGGATGCCAGACTGTGCAGAGACCGTTCCTGTTGCCCAAATGCACAGGACACACATACTAACTTGCAATATTCAACATGGCTTCACATTTGTTTACATTTCTTTTTCCAAAGACTCCAAGGAAGATGTTAGTATCCACAGTTTTACAGATGAACACCTGAGTTAGAGAAGTAGGTGACTCACCTAAGGTTAGACTGTCAGACAGAGAAAAATGTAGGAGCTCTGCAGCCTTGAGCTCAGACATAGAGATCTTTAGGGCCCCATCCTTGGAAACAGGGAGGGTCCAGGACAGGTCTTTCCCTTAGGACATGGTTTCTCACTCCCTGCAGATCTCTCACTAGAAATCAGCATGGAAGCCATCACAAACTGATGGTAGCAACTGCCACAGCCTTCTGAGCATTGGCGTCACACACATCTACTATCATACCTGGCTAGGATTCATTTTTTAACATTGTTTTTGGTCATGCTAGGATGTAAATCCAGAGTCATTCAGACAAGTGCTCCACCACTGAGTGGTATTCCCAGCTCTTGGTTTTTTGAGACAGGGGTGTGCTGTGTCAGGCTGGCTTTTAAATCATAATCCTCTTGCCTGGTGAGGCCTTCCAAGTGCTGGGGTTACAGATATATGTACCCATGCCTTGTCTAGAATTTTTTTTTTTTAAACATTTGAGGCATTTGTCTTGGAGGTTGGGATCTAGGCTGAGCCTGCTGGTTTAGGCTCAAGTGTAGAGTTTGCTTAGCATGTACAAGACAGGGTCAGAAAAAAAAAAAAAAGCATTGTTTCCTAGTGATACGTGAAAAACTAAAAAAGCACTGAAACTGTCCAATAGAACAGGTATGTAAAGATTTTTATGCTGTTCCATTTACAGAGGGAACATAAAATCACTTCTGGAATAGAAAGGTAGGAGCTGAAGCTCCTGCCCCTGCCAGAGGAAGGGCGATTTTACAGGGGTAAAATCTATGTCAAAGATGCCCTATCTATGTCAACTAAGGCATCTTTGGCTATCTGTGGGGAGGGGGAAAATAAGCGTGTGCACATACAGTGGGCACTTCATGTACAGTTCCTCATGCTATCCCAGTGGATGAGGAAGAAAGTGCAGAAGGCACTCAAGAGTGAGTGGACCACTGCTGTCTGTCTGTTTCAGCTCATTAAGCTGCTGGGTGGCTTCATCTAGATTTATACCATTGCCTTAAGATGGTCCCTCTCTTGGGTCTTGCCTTTTCTTCCTCTTCAGGCATCTTGTTATGGGTCCTTGCTGAGGGCCTCAGACATTACATTTCTCCTGAATTCCTGATGTTTTCTGCAGGAGAGAAAGCTCCAGATGGACTCGGTAGAGAAACGAACCCAAGTTGTGAGGGAGCTTTTACAGAGTGAGAGACAGTATGTGCAAATGTTGGGAATCGTGAGGGATGTGTACACCAGGCCCCTGAGGGCAGCACTCTCCTCAAACAGAGCCATTCTGAGCGCCTCCAATATACACATCATTTTCTCTGATACTCTACGCATCTTAAATCTCAACAGGTAAACCCTAAAGATATTAAGATGTACTCCCCAGATGGTGGGAAGAGCACACTTTGCCTCAAAAGTCCCACGGTGGCTCAGCCACTCTCTATTTTTTGTGAGGATCTCATCATTTGGAAGAGCAGAGAGTCTTCTTTGCATGTTACTTGACAGCTACAACCAGCAGTGATGGCTTCCACTGCTACCCCAACCCCAGGTCATAACATGTGCAAGAAAAAGAATTCAATGCCTTGGCATTCTGTTATCAATAAACTGCTCTCACAAAGTCCATGGGAAAGAGTCAACAATGTCTAATTGAATGACAGAACAGGAACACAAGAGTTCTCTGCTTTTCCATTGTGGGTTTCCTATATGTATCAAGAGATTGAGAAGAACAATGGTTTCTACCTATGGTAGGGTTAAATGAGACAAATGCCGGTCTTAGTCAATTTCTACAGATCTGGAGAGTCCCTCACCTCTCTGGGCCCAGCTCCTACCCAGTGAAAAGGCTGATAGAAACCTTTGTTTTCATGGCCTGGAATGGCTGAGAAGGGTAATCTTGGACCTGTGGAGTATGGGGGTTGTATACAAGTTAGGGCTATATGCAAGTTAAAGGTTAAAGGCAAAGACCTTGAAACTTTTGAAAGCACCATTTTCCTCAGAGGACCATGAGAATGTCCACGGTTTTGGCTCTCTGAGGTTGGGACATTCAGAAGTGGCTCTACTGTGGGAAGCTGGATTCTGACAAGAAATTGATGTAAAAGATGGGGATCCTGGACAGCCAGCCTCTTCCCTTACTGCCCAGCTCCCCCATCCTGTCAAATCCAGATTTCTCTGTGTCTAAGACACTCAGCTGGTCAAGAGCAAGGAATTCATTGCTTCCTTTTGGAGGCTCTCACAGGCTCCTATTTCAAGATACAATCTTCTCATGTTGTAGGGAATTTCTAGATAACCTAAGAGACAGACTACAGGAATGGAGCCCAGTTCAGTGTGTTGGAGAAATATTCATTAAGTTTGGGAGGCAGCTGAACACATATACCAATTTCTTCAACAACTACCCAGTTGTTCTGAAAACCATCGAGAAGGTAAGTGGTTGTGTTATCTCCATGCTAACACTACACAACCCAAAAGACTGAGGTAAATGGGCACGAGAGCTTCTCAGCTGCTTCCTCTCAGGTCTCCTCCCCTGTACTTGGAGCTTCTTGATGACAGGGACCTGGACATAGAGGCTAACACAGTGGTGAGCACACAACAGTGCTCAGGAACTGATAGTTGAGCTGTCACTATCTTCATATATATTGGCAAATTTTCATTCACCCTAGCCACTTAGTGGCTCAGTGACAGGACATTAATAAAGGAAGTTGGAGCAAATTGTGTGCTCAGAATGCTTTGCTGCTGCAATGCCAGGGGTGGGGCACACAAGATTGGCTCAATGGATACCTTGACCAAGACTTTAGCCCTGAGGGCAATAATTAGAGCAAAGAGTGTCATCAGAAACAAATTAGTGGCAAAACTTTTATAGTCATGGCAAACACTAATACCTACTTCATTAACACAATGAGTGCATACAGCTGTTCACTACATTTAGCTATGGTAGCTCTTATTATTTCAACATTATCAAATCTTTTAAATCCTTTAATTTTCACAGGTATAAATGGCCTTATTCCTAAAATACTCTTGGGGCTTGAAATCAGCAAATCTTGGACTCAGACATTAGCAATATTGGCATCTTTTAGACATGTACATACTGAATAGAAGGATGCAATTTCACAGATATACCTGTGGTGATAAATGAGTACATTTGAAATAGTGAAATTCTTCTGTAGTATCTCTTTTGTAATATCACTCTGGAAAACATGAATGACAGCAGCCTTAAAGGTAAATATCAGTGATTGCCAAACTCTTCAGAACTATAGATTTATTGCACAGCAGGCCCTTTATGGGTGGGATCCTGTCACCTCACTATGAGCTGGGTCTTTGATCCATTTTATAGATGAGAAAGTCAGGTAACTTGACAAGGTCACCTACTCAATTTATTCTAGTTCTAATCCAATCCTACCTTAATTATAAATCTGTTACTAATTTTCTCTATTGATTAAGTTAGTGGATATCGGTAGGTCTGCAGTATAATTATAATACTAGAGAGTAAGTGTATTAGAACACATGAATAGTACTATTGATACTTAGAGACAGATGCTGCTTTCTTGTTTTGCTATTTTGTAGCTTACCACTTGCTGGTGGAACTCAAGGCTTTCTATCTATCTAACAGACCAAAGTTTTGACAATGTAACCCTCTCCTTTTAGTGCAGAGAAATGACACCAGCGTTCAGAGCTTTCTTGAAGAGGCATGACAAGACCATTGTTACCAAAATGCTGAGGTGAGTTTCCAGGGAGAGCACAGCAGGGCACTCAAGGACAGGCCCTGGTTGACCTACAAGTAGCAACCAGGGCACTCTACTCTATGCCCTGTACAGCCTGCCAGAGCTGCTTCTGTACCCATCCCGGAGATTTGAAGAATATATTCACCTTCTCTATGCTCTGAGACTCCACACTCCCACAGGACACACAGACCGTGGAGACCTGACTACTGCAATTGATCAAATCAAAAAATATAAAGACTACATAGATCAGGTGGGTTGCTGATACACATGACAGACCTGAAATGTCCTCTTTTCTGTGGTTGTCTTTACTTCAATCTTCCACCCCTTTAGAGATAAATCCTTAGTCCTATTTTCCAATTTTGGTCATGAAAGGCATTTATTCCAAGCCAAATGGCGTGAAACAATGTTTTCAGAAAACTCTATGGCCACAGTGCTCCCCACACACTCGGTTTTTAGACAGGGTCTTATGTGTCCCAGATTGGCTTGAACTTAATATGTAGCCAAGGATCACCCTGAACTTCTGATCTTCCTGTCTCTCTCATTTCTGGAGTGCAAGGATTAGACATTCCCCAATATTCCTAGGTAATACAGTGCTTGAACTCAAACCCAGGGCTTTGTGTATACAAGGTAAGCACTCTGTCACCTGAGGCACATCCCCAGCACTACCTCTTCTAGTGTGAAAGTACATAAAGTTTGGATTTGTACAGATAACCAAAAGAAAAGCCAAATGTAACATCTTTTGCTTCCAAAAGATTTGTTTTTAATGTATTAGGTCACTTTTCTGACTCAGTAACTACAGGACTTATTATTCCCTATATACTGTGTAGACACATCATACCCTAAAATGACTTTTTTCTGAATAGCCTTGTTTACTTGCCTTTGTTATTAAAACATTGGGTTCAGGAAACTGGTATTTTTATTAAAGTATCAAGCACTTTACCATGTGTCAAAAATATTAATAAAAAAAGTCATGATCTTTGCCTAATATAACCCTGTATTCTAGATAAAGGAAAACATCAAAATGAGAGAGCAGCTATCCGATGTACAGACAATCATCTCGGGATGCCCTGTACGTATGCTGATGTTTCTGTTGCACCTCACACTCATGAGTATAACCTTGTCACTGCCAAAGATATATACAGATCCCGAGGCAGCTTAATGTGGGATGCTGTTACTTCAGACTTCAATGTAACACACCCTTGTTACCATTAGAAAATGTGTATGTGAGTTGGGCCCTATCCCACGTTTGGGATCTTCCAAGGCTGTATTTTCTTGTTTGGTGGTACTCTGATCATGACTCCTTGTGAGTTGAACATGGTCATGTGTTCTACATGATCTCTGTCTGACTGAAAAAGTCTTTGGTGCAAGATTCAACACACTGAAGATATCCACATACTGCAACTGGTTAACCTTATTTATCACTTGTAAACTCTTCTATTTGCCTTTATCTTCTGACTCCCCTGTCACCCGAGGCACTTACCATTCATACCTACTCTCCATTCTTTAATAGTGCAGCCTCTTGCCATTACTCTTTGAACATATGCTTTTTGAAATTGCCTTCCTTCCCTATTTCACTAGGTAAGTGTTATTACCCCTGTCAAAATTAGTCAGGAACTGTGGAGATACCTCAGCAGGCAAGAACTCTTCCTCCAAAGGCATGAGGACACGAGTTCAAGCCTCAAGTGTTGTCCTTCTCTGCCCTTTGTGTGTGTGAGAGGATCAGTCATGATCTTATCTAAGTTCCCTTGGTCTCTGGCTAGAAGCTTTTCCTTCAGTGTTCTAGATCCCCACAGACAGTCCTGTCATGTGGCCTTGCATCCATCTATTCACAGACTGGGACCTCCACCATGTATGAGCTTTGACTTGTTTTCTGGTGTCTAACATTCAGCAGGAGCTTGATATAGATAATGAATCAAAGTATTAATTAATTGGAGAAGAAGGAGAGTTTAGTTTTGTCACAATTTCTATCTTCATGTCTTAAAAAGATAAGTATGGTTGGTTGGACTACAAAAGTATGATTCTTAGAACTCACAGGACTTCACTTTTGGGTCTCTGCACTCTTAGAAGGTACCCCATGGCCAGAATAATGCGTGGGCCTACTTTTTTTGGGGGGGGGGCAGGGGTTGAGACAGGGTTTCTCTGTAGCTTTGGAAGCTGTCCTAGAACCCACTCTTGTAGACCAGGCTGCTCTTTAACTCATAGAGATCTGCCTGCCTCTGCCTCCCAAGTGCTGGGATAAAAGGTGTGCGCCACCACCACCCGGTATGGGCCTACTTCTTAATCTTACCAACTCATTTGCCTCTTTTTATTAACAGTTCCTTTTACTCCCTTCTCTTTGTTTTTTGACAGTAGGAAAAGTATATACAAAGACAACACCTTGGTTCTAAAAAACTGATGGCCTCAAATATTGTTTTCCTTGTCAGTTTTGTTTGCTAAAGGAAGCTTGTATTATAGAGAAAAGACAAACCTTTCTACAACCACACTTCCTATAACCACACAAAGTTCTAGTTAACATCTGCAAGCTGTGGGATGTTGAACAGTTGTTTCTGCACTATTGGGATTTCAAATAATCATACACCCTACTTTTTATTTTACAGACTCTATCAGAAGTAAACAGATACCTGATTAAGATCCAAGATGTAGTTCAACTTCATTGCTGTGACGAAACAATGGACTTCTCTTTAAGGTGAGCAGTTATTAGCCGAAGCTGTGAACATCTTGAAAGCAGCAATTGTCTTGCTCATTTGTTCACCCCTGGCATTCAGAACCATCCTTGACCTTGTATGCAGTTAAGAAAACCTTTACACTGAATCAGAATCACACACATATGCCTCTAGGTGATGCATGACACTATCATTTTGTTTGCATTCTGATGACTCCTTGATAGAATGAGAAAACAGTATCTGCCAAGCCTATATATTCCATAGTAGACCTCTAGGTTCGTCAGTTTCCTAATGAATTCACATCCAAGTATTGTGGGAGCTCACACCAATATTCTACTAAAAAGTGAGAGGATCGTTTTATTATCCTTAGATATAGCTGTTTAAGTTAACACTGAAAATGACTTTACCATATTTACTTTGCATAAGGCTCAGAGATGTGTAGGAACAGATGGAAAGATGCCAAAGTCCATAAATTAGTCTTCCTGTTGCTCTTTTACAACACGAATGGACAAGTTTTTCTATGAAATCCAAAGAGTAAATATTTAGAATTTCCTGGCCACATGAGGTTTATGGCAATGACCTTTTTCTGTTGTAGCACAAAGACAGCCACACAGCACAACAGTACTCTATTCATAAACAGTACCATTATATAAATGAACAGCTGTGGCTATGTGCCAATAAAACGTTATTTACAAAACAGTTTCTTGATATCTGCTTTAGAAAATGGTCAATGTTTTCAGTATTGAGGGCAAAGACAAATTATTCAACACACAGCAAACAAACGGAAAGGAGGCTCTTTTATTTCAGTGACTATTTCAGAAGACATCTGAAGGTGCCATGGCAGTAGGTAGATAATTCCTTTCCCCTCCATCTCCACCTGGTTAGATCTTGAATGGAAATCAAAGGCCATGAGAAAATCTGAGTTTGATCCCCAGAATTGACAGTGGAAGGAGAGAACTGACTTCTGCAGGTGTTCCTCTGACTTCCCCATATGCTGTGGCACACCCCTCCTCCCAACAACTAACTCAATGTAAACAAAAAGAGAAAAATCAAATCACAACCGAGTGTCTTTTGCCTCAGTGACTCAGCATTTTTGTTGATTGTTGTTGGCTGGCAGCAATGGGTAAGAGCCTTAATAATGGGAAGAAGCTGGCTCTGACCGCACAAGTCTAAAGAAGCTGGCATGGAAGACACGCTAGCTGATCCAGGCTGGGTTACTCCATCTTTATATATTGCTTCTTGAACGGTCTTCATGTAATTACTGGCAGTATGTTACCTTAATTTTGGTTTTAGAAACTGTCCACTATGTTTGTAGACAAATTTTGCTGGCTATGGAATTGTAGGTTGCTGGGGGCTTTCTTTTTCTTTAATAGTAACAATATTTTATATTTTATTTTTTTAAATTTGAATTAGAAAGAAACAAGATTGTTTTACATGTCAATCCCAGTTCCCTCTCCCTCTCCTCTTCCCCTACCACCTCTCCAACTAAAACCCTACCTATCAGGAACCTTTTCTGCTCCCCAGGGAGGGCGAGGCCTTCCACAGGGGGTCATCAGAGTCTGTCATATCCTTTGGGATAGGGCCTAGACACACCCCCTTGTGTCTTGGCTCAGGGAGTATCCCTCTATATGGAATGGTCTCCCAAAGTCCACACCTATGCTAGGGATAAGTTCTGATCCACTACAAGAGGCCCCATAAGATTTCCCATGTCTCCTCACTGACATCTGCATTCCTGGGGTCTGGATCAGTCCCATGCTGGTTTCCCAGCTATCAGTCTGGGGACCAAGAGCTCCCCGATGTTTAGGTCAGCTATTTCTGTGGGTTTCGCCAGCCTGGTCTGGACCTCTTTGCTCATCACTCGTCCTTCTCTGCAACTGGATTCCAGTTCAGTTCAGTGATTAGTTGTGGATGTCTGCTTCTACTTGCACCAGCTGCTGGATGAAGGCTCTAGGATGGCATATAAGCCAGTCATCAATCTCATTATCAGGGGAGGGCATTTCTTCTTTTCATTATTTTCACACCATTTTTGTTGTGCTTAGTCGGTTTTGAAGAGAAGTCAAATGAAGTTCTTGCCCTGTTCCTCTAGATTTTTGTTCTTTGTAGTCAAATTTGTCTTTGAGTTTTTTTGTTTTTATTTTTGTTTAATTTACTTATTTCGGTTTTATGTACATTGGTGTTTAGCTATGGGTGTCAGATCCCCTGAAACTGGAGTTATTGACAATTATGAGCTGCCACGTGGGTACTGGGAATTGGAGTCAGTACTCTGGAAGAACAGTCAGTGTTCTTAACCACTGAGCCATCTCTCCAGCCTCTTTGAGTTTCTAATAGAGTGGTGTATTATTCCTATGTGTAGAGATTTATTCTGTTTTTAGAGCTTTCTGGAACTGTGGTTTGCACGTATTCGTGGGGGTATACGCATATGAGTCTGGTGTACAGAGGGCAGATAAGGGTGTTGGATCTGTTGGATCTGGAATCATGAACTGTGATTTAGCCATGGTGTGGGTGCTGAGGATTGAACTCATCCTCTGGAAGAACAACAGACAACCACTGAGACATCACTCTCCTCTCAGCAAACTTACTGAGTATTTCTCCCATTGTTTTCTCTCTTCATTATTTGGTATTCTCCTGACATGTATATATGTTTTGTTTTGCTTTTCAATTGTCCAACCTCAGTCTGCTCCTATTTCCCAGTTTAAGACTTTTTTTCTCACACATCTTCCAGCTGACACTCCTAACGCAGCTGCAGTCTCTCAAAAACCTACCATGGGATTCTGTTATAATTTCCTTTATTTTTACTATTTCCTTTGACTTTGCAACAATTTCTATTACTCTATTATGTGGTCTTCTTCTATCTTTTTTTTTCCCTATTAGATTTCTTAACATATTAACCATGGTCAAATTCCTAATTTGAATGTTTCAAAATCTCTGCCATATCCAAATCTGGTTCTGATGCTTGCCCTCTCTCTTCACTCTGCCCTTTTGCCCCTCAGCACGCCTCAAAACTTATTGAAAGCTAGACGGAAAATAAATAAATGAATAAATAAGACAGGACTTTTTGGCGTGAGGTTTCATGCCCTTCTACTTAGGCTATGCTTACTGTTTCCTATAGTGAAAGGCTGCCATTTTCCCTGATGTCCTTGTTTTGATACCATGTCCAGCCTTAAAGAATCCTAAAAATAAGAAATTACTGTTTTGCTAGCATGTATCCATGTGTAGCACGTGTATTTTTGGTGTCCATGGAAGGCAGAAGAGGGTGTCAAGTCCTCTAGGAACTGGAGTTATGGGAGCCACAGGTGGGTGCTGGCAACCAAATCCAGTCTCTCTATAATAGTAAGTGCTCTTAACTGCTGAACCATCTTTCCAGCCCCAAGACCCCTTCAACAGAGTCTGAGCCTGGTATTTCTGTCTACTGTAATTACATAGTTGTCCTACTAATGTGGCAGAAAGATGTGGAGGAGGGACACCTTCTGTAGTTCTGTGTGGTCTGGGCTGGCCTCTAATTTGTGGGCACCCTAGGATTCCAGGTGAGCGCCACTGAGTGATAGGAAGCTGTGGGGGTTGGAGTGAATAAGAATTCCCTTTCCCAGGTTCCCAAAAGAACCCCTTAGGACAGGCTTTTGTTAAGGATCTTGTTAAGATCTCTGGTGTCATATTTCAGAATGTCCATGCCTGCCCCCCTTGTCCCCCAGTCTCAGCTCAATTGAGAGCTTGGTGGTTCCTAGAGTGGGAGTGCAAAGACCACTGTGTGAAATCCTGGCTGCTCCACTGCGTGACTATTAAAGGTGAAATGACTTGATTTACTCATTTAGAGGAACTGACAGAGTGTGTGGAGACTTGGTCAAGGGACCTGTTAGAGAGCTCTGAGGGCTGAACTGAGGAAACAGCTTCTACAAAGCATTTGATGGCCACCATGTTTCTGTTTACCCGCATACCCAAGCATCTCAAATGAACATCAAGTGTTCTCTACCAGAAATTTCCTAACTCTGATCCAGTCTCTGGTCCGGCTCCTAGACACAGTTTTAACTACAATGACTTAAATGTCTTATTTCTCAAAGCCAGGCTGAACTATGGAACCAGGGTCACCAGGGGCTTGCCAGAAATGCACAGATGCCCGGAGGCAAAAAGTCTAATATGACAAAATCCTGGTAACTCAGGTCATCATATATATAACATCAGTCATTACAAAGTGAATGACTATGGACTACTGCAACTTTTGTACACAATATAGAACTCTTCCACAAAAATAGACCATTTGACAAATTGCTGCGCACTGTAAACCCTGATAGATATAACAGCTCGTGTAAAGAATTTAATTATATGCAGAGAACCATCCAGCAATCTGGCTCCTAAGCAAAAATCAGAGGGTTACAGATGAGGTCAGAAGTACACCAAATTTTGCTCTTTGCTCATGATTTTTTTTTTTTTTTTTTTAGGCAGGATTTCCCTGTGTAGCTTTGGAATCTGTCCTGCAACTAGCTTTCTTTTATAGACCAGGTTGGTCTTGAACTCACAGAGATCCGCCTGCCTCTGCCTCTCAAGTACTGGGATTAAAGGCATGTGCCACCACTGCCCAGCCTGATCATTTTTCACAACATCAATGAAAACAATGCCTGCATTATGTGTACCATGTGTGTGCTTGATGCCCACAGAGTTCAGAAGGTATCAGGCACCCCAGAATTGGAGTTACATTTGAGTGCTGGGACTTGAATCCCAGTTCTCTGCAACAGCAACAAGTGCTTTTTTTAAAATCTGAGCTGTCTTTCCAGCCCTCTCTGTTCATGTTTTGTACATTATGAAATACTCGACTAATGGATGAGATCAAATAACTCTATCAGGTACCTTGATGGCCTACATTATTGGTCTGAGAGACGCAGGAGCGCTTTACCAAGGATTCCATGAATTACGCAAAGGTCTGTAGTGGAATAAGGTCTTAATCATAGGCATATCCATTTAAAGTGGTTAATTCTTCAACAAGGTGAATACCATGAAAATCTCCACTCTAACAGGCTCTACGAACAGATCCGAGATCTCAGCCTCTTCCTCTTCAATGATGTACTGCTTATTACCAGTCGGGGCACATCTCATACTCCATTTGAAAGGACTTCTAAAACAACCTACCAGTTCATTGCATCTATGGTCCTTCCCAGCATGCTCATAGAAGACATCCCAGACTCCAAATGTATGCCTTTTTTTTTTTTTTCATGAAAAACATTATCTCATCCTAAACTCATCAAATTGGCATTTAGTTAGTTCCTCTATAAAAGAGCCAGCATTTGCAAAGTGTGCTTAGTAACCACACACTGGTTTACAACTCCAATAGAAATAGCATGTCATAAAAGAACAAAACTTAAGCTGGTTGGGCTTATTGTTAACATTGCATACTGTAACTCCTCTATTTCTCAGGCTTCATAGGATCTGGTTCTTTCCTGCATTTCTGTTAGCACAGGTAATTAGAAGGTAACATTTCTCACTGCAATACTTTCCCTGAGTGTGGACATCACCTTAGCTTAAAGCAGAAGCCAAGACCCTATTTAAGTCTTTGACTCTCTAAATCTTTAATCACTTAGTATGGTTAGTATTGAAACATGTTTCTTTTCTTTAGTTCCATCCCATTGCAATTGTCAGCTGTGCTTAAGGGCACAGGCACCCAGCTAAGACTATAGTTGCCTGTGTCATTCATACCAAGGCAAGTCCAGGTCTAGCCTCTTTATAGGCACCAGTAAACATTTCTCATTGATTCCAGTTCTTTCTAGAGGGAATGAAACAAGGGATTAAAGGGCTTCACATTATCTAACATCTGGCCTCTGAAGGTAACTAAGAAATAATTTATAAAGATAGGGTTTTTGATGATGTTTCAGTGATTACCTTTTCAAATCATGAACTTAGAACATTTTTTGATTACTGCCTGGTAAGATTAAACATTAGTGTAGCTTCAGAGCAGAACTGCTTGGCTATAAAGAAAACCTTGCCATATGTGAGATCATTGATAAACCAGGAGGACATTATGTTTAAGTGAAATAAACTAAGCTGGGGGAAAAATAAGGTGTTCCTTAATCAGGCAGCAATGACAATTACGTAACTATAAATACAGTCAAAATCAGTAAGTGTTATACATTCAAAAGATGAAAAAAAAATAATGTACCTCAAATGTTTTCACAGATATCAAGAATGCATTCATTCTTCAAGGTTCAAAATGTGAATGGATCTGTGCTACTGAGGTGGTGGATGATAAATTCCTTTGGTTGTCTGTACTCCAAACCGCAATTAGAAGCAGTATGAAGTAAGACTAGATTCAAAAAAGACAAGAGGGTCCTTGGAAAGTCATAACATGTTTTCTGCTTCAGATCATCTAGCAAACAGCACATATGTAACCAATCATGGGTGGTGAGGAGATGGAAGAGCTAGGACTGCCTGTGAGGTTCCTTCTAACTTTTAAAATGTATGATGAAGCCATGAAAAATGCATAAGAACAAGTCTAAAATTTTGAACCACATCTTTTGGTAGCTACTGCTCATGGGCATTATTTAAAACAATTTGACATGATGAGTAATGAGAAAAAACATGTAGGTTTTAAAAAATAAGTAATGAAAAATCAGAATGAATGATGTTTATTTCATGAGCATTCTAGAAAAATACTTGAATTTGTTTGTGATTCACCAATCAATATCAACTTTTTCATGAAGCAATTAATGATTTTAAGGGTATGCCTAAGAAACATAAATGGCAGATTTTTCGAGTATGTGTCAAATAATGTGAATGTGCCCCTTCTGAAAGCATTAGAAAATACCATCTCAAAGAACTAAAACATTCGGTGGGTTTTGTTTTGTTTTCTAGAATTCCTACTGTTTGCTTTAAGACAAAATTCTTAGATCTTCACCAGGTGGTGGTGGTGGTGCACACTTTAATCCCAGCACTCGGGAGGCAGAGGCAGGCGGATCTCTGTGAGTTCCAGACCAGCCTGGTCTACACAAGAGCTAGTTCCAGGAAAGTCTCCAAAGCCACAGAGAAACCCTGTCTCGAAAAACAAAAACAAAACAACCACAACAAATTCTTAGATCTTCTAAATAACCTTAAGAAAATTTTTAACCATAATATTAGAAATTCAGTGGTGGGAGAACCCAATTTTTAAATAACAAAAATTAATAAATGGGACTGGAGGTACAGCTCATTATTTAAGAGCACTGGCTCTTCTTTCAGAGGATCCAGATTCAATTCCTGGAACCCACATGGCAGATTGTAACCTGTAACTCCAGTTCTAGGGAAACTGATACTCTCTTTGGCCTCCATGGATGCAGCACCCAGGGATAGTGAAGTCATGGATCTTGGAGAATCTACAAAACCACTTTACTAAACCAGCATAATCCTTAACTCCATTCTAAATATTTGTCCTTATAGTCACCAGTAAGTGTGGTCCTCATCCCTCAATAAGGAAACCTTTCTTTGCAACAAACAGAATCATTGCAGAAAACTACAACCACTCAAATAGCAGATCTATGGAACCCAGGATTCATCTACAAAACATCCTCAGAAACTAAGGCTCAGAGAACACTGTGGAAGGCAGGGGTTATACCACTCAGAGAATCAGGGGATTATCTGTGTCTCCTATTAATGTCAGAAGCTACACCCATAAAGAATCACCAACATGATGACTATTTAAACATGAGCTGAACAAGGATAGCTACAACAGAAATGCCGACGTGAATGGGTCTCAACCCTACACAAAGAACTATAGATAACCATGGGGTGCTGAAAGTGGGAGAAATAGTCTTCACCAGGAAAGATAACGATTGGATATCCAACAGCAACTAGCCAGCACCCTGAAAACATGCATACAAGTAGCATTCACAGATTGAGCAGACCACATTTAGGAATATGAAAAAAAAAAAGAGGTCATGAATTTGAAAGAGAGTAAGGAGGATTATGGGAGAGTTTGGAAGGAGGAAAGGGGAAAATGATGTAATTATATCATTATCTCAAAAACTAAAAGTAGCAGCCAGTCATAGTCCCAACACTTCAGAGGCAGAGGCAGGAAGATCTCTTGTGAGTTTGAGGCCAGCCTGGTCTACATAGAGTTCCAAGACAGCCAGGGATACAGAGACCCTGTCTTAAAATAAATAAGCAAGTAAACAACAAACAAAAAAATGGAAATCTAACCAAAAAAAGTACCTGTAATGAAATTTAGCTGAGTAAAAAATGAATTCTTTTGCATAGTTAAATGATTGGTGAAAAGTGTGTATTGGGATTATGTTGTCTACTTTTTGTTTCATAATGTCTTATGGTAATGAAATCCGTTGGTACATTGTAGGATTGTGAACTCAGGTACTTAAATATATTTCAATACTGAAGCTATAATTTCTAATTCTTAAAAGTTTAAATTCTGGCTGAAACATATAGAAATTAAATATTATACTTTCTTATTAATGTAAAAATTATACTTCTCAGCCGTGTGGTGCTGGTGTACACCTTTAATCCCAGTGTTCAGGAGAGGCAGGTGGATTTCTGTGAGTTCAAGGCCAGCCTGGTCTATACAGTGAGTTCCAGGACAGCCAAGGCTACACAGAAAAACCGTCTCAAAAAACCACACATAAATAAATAAGATTCTGTTACAATGGATCTGTAAAGTTAAGACATAAAGGTGACATCTCTTGGTAGTAACGAATACAAACTGATAAACAGTACCCAGAAATATCTACCCTGACGGGGAGGGCATACCCCAGTCAGAGACTTTACTAGCAAAACTACCTATGTGGAAAAAGTGAGTGAAAATGTATTTGAGGATAACCTAGAAATACTAAGTAACTAGTTCTCATGTGAACTGATACCTTCAGAAGTTTACAACCATTACTTGAAAGTGCAATATGTCAAGCTTATTTTGTGTGCTTGCAGGTAGAAGTCAGAGGACAGCCTGGGTGTCAGTTTGCAGGCATCCTCTGTAGCCAGCCCCTAAGTAGGCGTGGCTACAGCTTCCCCTACAATCCTCCACAGATTTTTTTTTTTTTTTTTTTAAAGTCTTTCACTGGCGGGAGAACCCAAGGGACCTGTCTGTCTGGCTTCCCAGTACTGGGATTTCAAGCATACCACCATGCCTGGCTTTAAAAAATTCAAACAGAGTTCTGTGAATTCAACTCAGGTCCTCTTCCTTGCAAGGTTAGTACTCACCACTGAAATAGGAACCTAACCCTAACCCTGTCAGATCTCAAGCAGAGTCAGCACCTCAGTCATAGAGCAAGGGTGTGTTCAATGGCTTTTCTCACCCCTCATGTAATGTTTTCAACCTTTTCCCTTCACCGTGAGGGGACAATGAAGACCTGACTTCATAGTTCGTAAGCTCACACCACTCCTGTTGAATTAAACCCAAACATAAACATAAACACACACAAACATTGTGTGTTTTTATGTTTACACAAGTACAAGTCATGGGTGAATTGGTCAAGAAACATAGAAACCCTGACCCCAAGTTGGCTCGTCAAACAAGCCTCGAGTGATACATGATTCCTGAATAATGCCGAGGAAGGCCTTGAGGAAGAAAAGGGAAGTAGTTTCTGAGAAACACACCAGGCTCTTAAATCAAATACGGAGTAGGAAGCTCATCTTAAAACCCTTCATAGGATAGAAAGACGTTGACAGTTTGATAGTGTTTTTCTTTTGCAAATACTTCTGAGGAAAAGCCCATTCTGTAGATCCAATCATGGTATGGTTTGGCCACACATCACGAGGGGCCAGTATGACTGCTATCAGATGTTATGGCATAGGAAGGGGTGAGGCATGCCAACAAACACAATGTATCCTCCAGAAAAGTCCTCCTGACCCTTTTATTGTTGAAATTAAAAAATAAAAGATACTTAAATACAATGGTGAACATACAGGGCAAAACAGAATCATAAAGTTTAATGTTCGATAAAGCAGTGAGCTGAATGTTTGGGTTTCCAAATAGGCTCCAAACCCAAAACTGCTTCAAAATGGGCATGTTCACAGTTAACGGCAATTGGCTTAGAGGTGAGAGAATGGTCGGAGTTGTTCCAGTTGAACTTCCAGGGAAATTCTCTCCTCAAGAACATCCTGAAAAAGACGCAAAGTCCAAGTCATGTTGAAAGTAGACAGAAATCTGACACGAGCTCTGCTTCATGCTAACAACTGTGTTTTTCAAGAGAAAGTGACAGGAATTCCTATTTTAAAACTAGCTCACTTTAGAAGGTAATTTGGACATTCATAATAAGAAAGCACCATCCTACTAATTCAAAGCCATTTCTGGTGACAGAACCAGGTAGAAAAATGCTTTTAGGTTAATTGTGAGAAAAAACAGTGGTTGTAGCAAATGGGTATTACTGCACAAATTGAATAAAGCCTTAATTAACTATATATGAATTTGTTAACATGAATTCTTTCCTCTGGTGATGGTAATCTGATCCTAGATCTCATTGTGAATTTCAGTTTTACAAAAAAGATTTATTCTTCATTCAGAATCTTAAAAATGATTAATAGTGAGTGAGCACACATGCCACAGCATATATGTAGAGGTTGGAGAACTTCTGGGAGTCAGGTCTCCGCTTCCACCATTGTTGCAGCCATAGAGCACAGGTGACCAGGCTTACAGGGCAAGTGCTTTCCACTCACTGGCCCATGAAACTTTGACTTACGGCTCATCCTTCCTTTTCACATGCAGATGATTTAAACTTTCCCACTCTGTCTTCATGAGACTGGTTTAAATTTCTATTACTGAATCTGACTTCCCTCTGGTCAAAGGAGAAACTCGTAACAGCCCAATTGCCCACACAGAGCACAGAGCCACATATGTACTCTTGGAGGTACTCAAGTCCACTTTTCTTCTCCAAGTTTCTTCATGGAAGTTAACAATGTTACAGGGATAGTGATATCTTACATATTCAGGGTAAGACATTGTGCACCAGAACTGTGGTAAGAAATTCCTTTTAGTATTAAAAGAGTCAACAGCTTACACATTTTAGCCACACACTTTTCTTCTGCTTCAGGAAAGTTTCACAGACTGACAAGAGCTATTGGATCAGTTCCAAATCCCCCAAACTGAGATGTACTGCATGCATGGAACTTTACCTTTAATTGCTGCTGCAATTCACTATTCAATCTGGCCAGAACGGTGTTGGTTTCTTTATTGCGTCTAATCGATGCCTGGATAGCCTTTTTATCTTTCCCCACAGATCTGAGAAGACACAGGGGCAAAGACTTGGAGCCTATCCTGGCACTTGCTCTGGAGACCAGGCTGGCCTCGAACTCACAGAGATCCACCTGCCTCTGCCTCCCGAGTGCTGGGATTAAAGGCGTGCGCCACCAAGGCCTGGCTCTTCTTTCCCATCTTTAACCCTTTTTTTTTTCCCACTGACTTCCAAGCAGAGAAGAAGGGACAACTTCTCCCTTCTCAGCAGGGCTCAACTTCACTTGTCGTTCCAATGATAAGTGGGAATCTGTAAGCTACAGAAGCCCAAGACCATAGCTGTTATTAAGTACTACAATTATTCTGTTGAATTCACGGAGTGAAATAGTCTGGACCAGTACTTGTAGACTCTATAAACAGCCAGACAATGAATCTTTTCGGCTTTGTGGGCCATTCTGTTCTGGTGTGCGTCTTTGTCTCTTTCTCTTTTCTCAGAAATGTAAAAGCTGGGCTAGCAAGAAGGCCCAGGTGGTAAGGGCACATGCCATACAGACGTGATAACCCCAGTCTGTTCCATGGAACCCACACGGAAGAAGATCCAACTCCCAAATTAGTCTTCTGACCTCCATATGCACAGCATGCTCTCACTCCACCATGTGGGTCCTGGGTTTGAACTCAGGTTGCCAGGTGGCAAGCACTTTACCCACAGCCATTTCACTGGCTGAGAAAGCTCTCTGAGAATGAATCTGTTTCCTTCTGGCTGGTGTTTTGTGCTTTGTTGTTAGTAATGAAACATACTG